AAAATCATTAATCCACATTTATGTTGGTTCTTTCATAATTTTTTCGTTCATTTCTTATGAATGAAAGGCCTTGTCTACACAGAGATAGGTTTACGAGACTTCACTTCCGCGCAAAGTTCCGTAAACTTTTGTTAGTGGTGTTGACAGGGCTTTCCCAAAAAATGTGTTCAACACAAGTAAACGCGTCTTATGCACCCCTCCCCCGCTGGCACGTTCATTTACTGGTTTTTATTGATGTTTCAAAACGAATGAGAAGGGGGCGGCAAGATACAGGCGGCCCACGGGCGGCAAGTAGGTACATCCTGCCCTGGCATCGTGTATTTTTATTAAATATTTCCCTGATTTTTCCGATCTTTCATTGCTTTCCTACGTTTCATGCCACCCTGGCCTTCCTTCAACGGGTCATTTTGCGCCTTTCAATATGCCGGCCATGAGTGCTGCCTTGCTAAGGAAAAACGCCGTATGAACATCCGAGAGTTGCCATATCCTTCCTGATAAAACGTGTATTTCTGACAACATTCAACCATATTTTTCCTTGAAATTTTCGAATGTTTCAGATTAAATTGCGTTCAAAATCGTCTGAAAATTTTGGAAAATAATATCCACAATTTTCCCAATAAATTCGGTTTTTATCAGAGGAAGGCCACGTCTGAAGGCTCATACGGCGTTCTTCCTTAGCCCGGCAGAATGGAGGCCGAGCCTCGCCTCGACGTGGTTTTTTCGCTCGTGGACCAATGACGAGGTCTACGGACTTTCCAGGCCGGTGAGTTGCGGTTCGCGGAAAATAAAATCGACTCCGATACTGTTATCGTTCACGGAGGAGCAATAAAGTGCAGGAGATTGAATCGCAAGTGCATGCAAGCTGCATCGGGATCGCTTGGTCCCGCGAGAATGCGCCGGATAATCGGCGCATTCTCGTGTTTCACGCCGCGCACGATTCACTCCAAAAAAATGGTTAAAAAACTAGTTTCATTTTTACGATAAGCGAATCAACCCGGTTTTTGTTTTAAAAGTTGGTTCCCTCATCTAAACTCTGGTGAAATTACTGTTGGTAAGAGGGTGTCTACAAGTCCGGAATTTCCGGAAAATCCGGAAACAGTACTGATTTTTTAAGGGCGGTCCGGAAGTACTGAGAAAGTGCGGAAATTCTGCAAGAAGGTCTGGAATATTTCTAATTTTTTGTCATTTTTGTCTCAATTCAAGCGAAATTCAAATTTTTTTATATTCCGTCAGTAATTGAAAGTACTGCAAAAGTACTGAATTTTTCTGTTGAGGAGGTACTGACTTCCTTGAGAATGTACTGAAATAGTACTGTAAAAGTACTGATTTTTGGTTAGCCTGTTTTAGTTGACACCCTGTTGGTACCGATCCAAGTTCGCACCGCGTTCCTCGTGCGATTAGAAAAGTTAGCATCCCTGAGTCCCTAAAATATTTTGTCTCCGCCTCTGAGAATCGCCAGTGGTCCCAGCATCGTGCTTCTTTGAGTGGAGACCGGTTTCACGACAAAATCGAATCACGCAACGATTTTTCCCGAACAAGTTCGGCGAATCCTCCCCCGAATCCCATCACAGAGACGAAACATCTAGACGGACACGGAAATAATATTTGCGTGCCTCACACGCGAGCCCGCCGTGACCCTGGTAGGCAACCCGTCACGACGCGTAATCCTGCTATATATTTTAATCGCTCGTCATATACTATTTTCGGAGCTATAATTGCAGATAGCTAGAGTTCCTTCTCACCTCCGTAGTTAAATGTCCGCGGCGCACAGTGGATCGAGTCAACAGGAGAGGTCGGACAAAATTCGGAAACATCAAAAACTCATAATTCCGTTTATGCAAAACTTTGAGGTTCTAGAAGTGGTTTCCTCGTAAAATTTTCTTCTCGTTGCACCCCTTAAAATTTAAAATTTGGCAAGTTAAGCATCAAAATTTGCAGTTTTACAGTCAAAAATTTCATGTCCACTGGAAAAAAAACACATTGGATCTAGAGTCCAGACTCTTAAAAACATCGACAAGAAAAAAATAATCTTGATTCAATCGGATTTTTGCTTAAATCAAGAACCAAGCCTGTTAATTTGAGCGGATTTCCTTTTGATTTAAGCTTAAATCTGATTGAATCAAGAGTACTTTTTCTTGTCAATGTTTTCAAGAGTCTGGACTCTAGATCCAATGTGTTTTTTTCCAGTGTCCGACTTCTCTGATTGACTCAATCCAGTGTGTGGCGTAGATTGCAGGCCCGGGTTTGAGACAAGCTGTTCTGATTTCGGATTACAAGGGTGTCGCATTCCGTCCTTCCGTAAGCTTCAAATCCCACGAGCAGAAGCTTTCCGGATCTTAGTTTATTGCCCGTCCAGGTATCAATTTTGTAGGAAATTATTAAATTAGAAGGAATGGAACAGAAACGCACCAAGTCGCGTCAAGTTCAAAGCTAGGAAAAGAGGTTTGAAGCCTCAGCTCCGTAAGGCTCAATGTTGAGGATAATTAACGACTGCTTTTATGATCAAAATATTTTTTCTCGACTTTGAATTTTTGTCAGAAGAATATTTACGACTAGTTTAACTACACTCTCGACTCAATTTTTTCCGAACTGCAACTTGGTGTGTTTCTCCTAAACTTGGCGCGAATCTTGAAAGTCGTTCTTTAATAGCACTTAATCCCACGAAAATTGTGCTGCGTTTCTGTAGAAGGAACAACAAAAAAAAACTACCATTTTGATCTCGCAACGTGTCCAAAGAAGCGTTGAAATGTGTCACGTGATACTTTTAGGTGTCTAAAACCTGGTAAAACTGGGGAGTACTAGGATTTATAGGGCATTGAAAAAAAAAATTAGAGAAAATTAAGGAGCTTTGTGCTAAACCCCGGGAATTTTTTCTCTCTCCGTTCTTAGGTTGCTTTATTTCTTAAATAGATGTTCCATGTCGACTTGGCTATGAAAAGTACAGATCAAAGCGGGAAAAGTTGATTACTTTCCCGAACTTCGGAGTAACGTTTTATTTTTTTCGCACAAAATCTGGAGGAACACGACAGAGAAATTCCAAGGTTTCCATTAGGTAATTTTTCTTTGGAAACCAGGGAAATTCAGGTAAATATCAGGGAATGAAGCAAATCAAGAATTCTGGTCACCGTGTTTTAGAAAGGAAAGGGGAGGATGTCTCCATCCCCCAAGTTCTCAAGCAAATCACGAATCGACAGAGAATTTTAGAGGGAAGAATCTTAATTCTTAAATTGCAAGCATTTGCCTAACGGAATTGGATAACTTTTTTATCTCCACAAATTTGAATACTGGAAGACTTCACTATATAGCAGCCCATTATCAAAGTCCTAACGGTTCTAAAACAAATATTCTATATTTTTAAAAAAAAAAGTCTGTTATTTTTAGTGAAAACTATCATTGAACTTTTTTCTCTAGTGCATTTCTGTGACCTTGAGAGACATGAATCACAGACGACTGAAGTCTCGCAAAGACTAATTTTCGTGGATACCGCGCCCGTCTTTCCCTCTCCGTTATTCGATATCGATTATCCCGATTATCGATCTCCTTTTATCGATTATTGATCTTCGAATATCGATCTCCGATTATCGTTATTTAATATACCTCCGACCAACGGTACGTAGCCTAATTTATATTCATGTTTTTATATTCGTTCAACGAATAATTCGACTGTAGTAGGAGGAATTTTTACTCTCATTCGGCAGCAGGCTCCCATGTTCTCACTGCAATTAGCCCGGATTCGTATTCAAATCTGCGAAAATTCCGAAACCTGGAGATTTCCTACTCGCTCCGTAATGTCATCGAACGCAGCGCGAGATGAAGGTTTTTATTGCCGCTGATTATCGGTAGCTGCGCTGGGTTTGATTTATGGCTTCCATCATTCCATGGCTGACATTCGGAAGTCATGGTTGATTACCTACAAGGATACCTCCGGAATTTTGTCCGTCGTTGGTGAGGAACAACGTGATATTCAAGTGTAGGATAGTCTCTGCGTTAAGTTCATAATGCTCCTAAATCTTTTAATATGAGACTGCTACCAGTGCATATTTGCCGATAATTCTTTCCGTAAAATTTTCCGGCGTATCTCAGCGCTCCTTCTGGAAGGAACAACAACAATACGCCGTGCTAAGAAAAAACGCCCTATGAACATGCGAGAGTTGCCAAATTACCTTTGATAACATGTTTATTTTTGAGGAAAGTTAAATATGAATATTTTTTCTTGAAATTTTCAGGAAATCGTGGTAAAATTGCGAACAAAATTATCTGAAAAATTGGAAGAAAATATTTATAAATTTTCCCGAATTCCGAAAATTCATCTATCTCCTGAAAAACAACGAACCAGGGAATTTTTTAAATTTAGTTACACAGGGGAAAAAAAAAACACACTGGATCTTGAGTCCAGACTCTTAAAAACATCGACAAGAAAAAACACTCTTGATTCAATCAGATTTAAGCTTAAATCAAGAACCAAGCCTCTTAATTTGAGCGGATTTCCTTTTGATTTAAGCTTAAATCTGATTGAATCAAGAGTTCATTTTCTTATCAATGTTTTCAAGAGTCTGGACTCTAGATCCAATGTGTTTTTTTTTCCAGTGTACGGGAATCTTGGAATTGCAACGTATAAATGCAAAATAGAAGTGCAGTATTATGTATCTTAACGAAAACAGATTAAAATTAAATCGTAAAATTAATAGGATTTTTTTCTATGTAAAGCACTGAAAAAAACACTCCGGCCGTTACGACCGCACTTACGGGCTTTACATAGGCATACCGTGCGCGCTCCGGGATCACAGGCCGAAAGTTCCGGGCGCAGCACCCGGAACTTTCGGCCTCTAAGCTTAGAACAGACGGTTTGTCTATATAGCCCGTAACTTTTTTATTCAGTGAAGGAAATTTCGGTTTTTACTGACGCGGTGTATTTTTTGCCAGCCTTGTGATTTTTATTTTTTTTCTCTCTCTCTCTTGTCTGCATTATCTGACGAATGATTGTTTTTGCGTGTCTGCAGGTGATGGAACTGTTCGTGACGATGAACGAGCAGCAGCAGTTGAACGCCAACAACGCCTCGAACATAGGCAGATCTCTGAGCAACGCGGCCTCTCTCACATCTCTCTGTGCCGACATCTCACCGAGTTCCTCGCATTTCTTCGAGGTAACCCATCGACATTTTTGTGTTCTTCAATTCTCGCCCGAAAAATCATCAATTTAAACTTGTGCATTACCTCTATTTTTTATCACTTCACCTCAGAGGTGCAGAAAGTTCTTAGCCTTCCCCAATTTATATTTTGCCTTTCCCAATTTTTTTGTTTTGGTATGATTGTGCCTCTACGTAAAACAACGCGCTTAACAGCTTCCTTCCTCAAGAGAGTCGCGCATGAAAGACTTCCAGCATATAAAACAGCACGCTTAAAACAGGGTTGCCACACTCAGGGAAAACCGGGAAGTATCAGGGAATTTTAAAAAGTCCGGGAAAACGGGGAATTGTCGGGGAAAATGACGATAATGTCGAAAATGTCAGGGAAAATTTGTTAAATCACCTTCATTTGCTTTCTAGAATGGGTTTGAGGTTTCGAACAACAAATTTTGCCTGAAAACTATTTTCAGTTATGCCTTCTTAACCACCCGTCACATCTTCAATTGTCAGGTAATGTTGCCAAAATGGAAATCATGTCGCAAAAATGTTTTGAGTCATCGCACTAGTTTCTCAAATGACTGGTAAAAACGTTGAGATAGGTAGGACAGGCTTCGCTCTCATGCAACGTTCTGATCTTTTTTTTTCTTTCTTTCTTTCTTTCTTTCTTTTTTTAAATCTTACGATTACCTATGAAGTAGGTACGTCCAATTTTTAGCTTAGTATTAATATCTCACAATATTTTTAAGTCTGGGAATTTCTTTTTACAACTACTTCTAGAAATCCCAAGCTCGGTCAAATTGACATGACTGTCTCTTCTTGGCTGTTATGGAGCCGGTACGGTACGTACGGGCTTCGAGCGGTACGTACGCACCATAACGCCTTCAATTTTCTAGATGCAGCACGGACATCCATCAAGCACGAATAGTTGTATCTCTGCGCCGTCATAAACGCGCGTCTTTTATTACTCCTACCAAATTGTGTTGGTTTCGTGTGTCTTCGGTGTCCTAGTAGTACTGCCGTGCTAAGGAAAAACACCGTATGAGCCATCAGGCGTTGTCAAATATCCTTCGAAAAACAACGAGTTTTCGGGAAATTTTGTGAATATTTCTCCTCCGATTTTTTGGAGAGTTTTCTTCGAAATTTGATCTAAATATTCTGAGAATTTCAAGGATAAATATTCATAACATTCCTCAAAAATAAATATTTTATAGACGGACATTTGGCAACTCCCGAATGTTCATACGGCGCTCTTTCTTAGCACGGCAGAGTAGTGGTGCTTCAAAGGCTACGTGAGCAACACAGTCAAAGGTAGGAAAGACGTAACCCGGCCTGCTTTTTTAAACTTTTCTTCCGAATCTGAACGATACCTCATTAGTAGCATAGAGCAGAGCATTGAGAGTTCACGCTTCGCGTCATCGCGCCTTCAATTTTCCAGATGCAACACGGACATCCATCAAGCACGAATATTTGTATCTCTGCGCCGTAATCAACGCGCATCGAGGTATCTCTTATTTTTGAAATTTGAGAAAAGTTAAGGTTTTGTCCGGTCAAAATATGATATGATGTGTCCAAATCAACCGTGTTGGCAGAAGAAGGAGAAGAGGAAAAAATAAAAAAATGTTCTAAGGTCTCTCCAGCGCTCTAAAAGGGCGCACGTCTAAAAATTGGTATTTTGCTGAGAGTCATGTCGTGTCAGGGAATATTTTGTTGGCGACTACTCTTAGAAATCCCAAGCTGGGTTCAGGGTGTCTACAAGTCCGGAATTGTCGGAAAGTCCGGAAATAGTACTGATTTTTTAAGGGCGGTCCGGAAGTACTGAAAAAGTGCGGAAATTCCGTGAAAAGGTCCTGAATTTTTTTTTTTAATTTTTTGTCATTTTCGTCGCAATTTCAAATTTTTAAAATTTTTCTAATTTCGTCAAATGGAGGTACTGAAACAGTACGGAATTTTTCTGTTAAAGGAGGTACTGAATATCTCGAGAATGTACTGAAAAAGTACTGTAAAAGTACTTATTTTTGACCAGCCTGTTTTAGTAGACACCCTGGGGTCTAATTTACTTTACTATCTTTTCTGGGGGGTTATGTATGGTGTAATTGGGCGGGGGGGGAGGTGCAGTGTGTTACCAGAAAGGTGGAAACCTTAAAAAAAAAGTACTTATTACGTTCAAAAATATAGATATAATGCAGAAAATACTTCTGAAACATAGAAATAACACAGATAATACTTCAAAATCTATCAATGTATATAACAACGGGTCAATTCGACCCGACTTAAGGCCCTGCGTGAAAAAAATTCTTCAATATCCAAGGTTGAAAAGTAGGTTCTCCGTACGATCACCCAATGCAGATGGACTTCTTTGGCGGCAGGGTGCGAATGAAATTGCATACCTTAGTATTACCTCAAAGAACTCCCGGTGCGATCTTTACATTGTATTTTGTCTCAGATTTGAATCAAAGTGAACGGAGCGTAATCCGGAACTGGTCGATAAATGATGTAAATATAAATATTTACTCCGGTAATTTGGCCCGAGTCCATTAGGACCGAAGCCGCGGACTCTGTTTTGACCCGGGAAGTGGAGCGCAGACCCCCTGCGAAATGCACGGCTTTGTTTGAAGCACTAAACACACCATCTGTTGGTTTCCTGATGAGTCCTCACCTAATTCATTCGTAACTTTATCGACAGGGTGTCTAGCATCACGAAAAACCGGAAAATATCAGGAATTTTGGCCGATCAGGAAAAAATCCGGAAAATATCAGGAAAATCGGAAAAATCGGACGTTTTATCAGGAATTTTTCTTACGCGATTCTTCTTAATATCAGTGTGTGGCTGGAAAGCTGTACGTAACGAGTAATCATGTCTGGGTGATCGACGTTTATTTGTGTTTTCATCATTTTATACTAGTTTCTAATCATAAGAACTTTATCACAAAATTTAGTTTTCGCATGCGTTTGTGCAATAAATATAGTTTTTACGAGAAAAATCAGGAAAATATCAAGAGTTTTCAAAATGAAAAAATCAGGAATTTTTTATAAAATATCAGGATTTTTCAAAATTAAAAAATACTAGACACCCTGATCGAGATTCCACGATTAAATTCTAAATGGTCAAATGGAATCGTAACCGCCTCTCAGAGGAGAAAAAATTCAGTGAACAAAATTTACAGAAAAGTACCAAAGAAAATTTTCATTGGTTTACTGTGAAAAAGAGGAGACATTACGGACGATTTGGGTATTTTGGCGATGAGTCGTAACTGGGGGCACGCCTTTTTTTACTGTAGCCATTACACTGAAAAAAAAATCTCGGTGTATTTACTAAGAAAAGGGTAAAATTACCAAGAATTCAGGGTTCTATTTGATCCCAGTTTTTTCTTGGTAAAATTACCATTTATGGAATTGGTAATTTTATCTCGGTAAAATTATTGAAATTTCTCGGTAATTTCACTGGACCTTGGTAAAAACACCAATATTTTTTATCGACTATGGTAGAATTACCGAGATAAAATGGCAAAGTTACCGGGAATTGATTACCAACAAAAGTGGTATTCTTACCCGGAAAAAACAGTAAAAATACCGGTTTTTAGGTAAGCTTACCAGTCTGTCTCGGTAAAATTACCATTTATTGGTAAAAAAAGTGAGATGGTAAAGGTACCAACGGACCTTGGTAAAAACGCCGAGAATTTTTCTTCAGTGTAATATACTCATATTGACTTGACATTATTGTACGGTTTCCTTCAGAGCACCAATTTATTCTTTAAAAGTTTACATCCTGAAGTATTGTTCCGGTACTAGGAGGAAAAGCTTTCGATCTTGATCCGCGAGGAGTTTAAGGTTACTGTTAGTCGGGCGCACCATGTCGAGCAACGAGATCGTGGGTTTCCCGCGGAGGCGGGACTCCTTCCGACTGTCACCCGTGGGTGTGAGGCTCGGGTCGGGGCAAGGCCCGCGACAGGCCTTGAACTGACGTCATGTAGAGCTTTTGCATGCATTTGTAATCTCTACGCTACACGGAAAAAATTAAATTGCTGATTTAACAATTCAATCGCTGAAATAAGAGACTGCAATGTTTCAATTTAGATTTTACAACAAAAAAATGCTACTTTAAACACCTGAGCTAATTTAACCACGGGGGTGGTTAAAGTCGTATTTTTTTTCTTTGTAAAATCTACGTTGAAACATCGCAGTCACTTTTTTTAGCAACTGAATTGTTAGATCGGCAATTTAATTTTTTCCGTGTAGTGGCGCCCTCCGTCATCCGGCTCTCCTGATGTCTAAACCCCTGAGGGAAAAAATGGTTTTTAAAAACCATTTTTTCGTCAGACCATCGGCTGACAGAAAAGTACCTACGTAAAAAACGCAGAAATTGAAAGTGCTTTCTAAAATGAAAATCGCCTGTTTAGATCATTACACCCAAAAACATGTCTAAACTCCAGAGAAATTTGTTTTTCTTTTGAGGGGTCTTTCATCGTCTGTTAGACAATTGAATCAGTCTGTTACAAAAGAGCTCAAGCGCCAGATATGAAAATACTAAAAAAAAAAAAAAAAAAACGGTAGAAACTGTATGAACCGACCCGTTTTAAATTGCAGATTAATTAAAGATGTGATTTATTAATTCATCCCTTTAATATTTTAGAGCTCTGAGATTTAGACGCCGGGTCAATTAAAACGGTTATTCCCATTTTTCTCGAATTCTCATTTTTGGCGCTTGAGCCCTTTTGTAACTGATCGATTCTATTACGTAGAAACCTCAGAAATTGAACTTGCTCAATGAAAATCATCTTTTCAGACCATCTTACGCAAAAACATGCCTGAACCTCAGAAAATGAATGAAATCACCTTTTTAGATCGTTACACGCAAAAACATACTAAACGCCAGAAAAAGATGGTTTTTTTTAGGGGCATTCCATCGTCTGTCAGAGAATTACGTAAAAACTTCAGAAATTGAATGCGCTTTCCAAAACAAAAATCACTCTTTTGGATCCTTACACGCAAAAACAGGTCTAAACCCGAGGGGGAAAAATGGTTTTATTAAGGAGTATTTCATCGTCTGTCAGAAAGTGAGGCTCTAGACAGGGTACGAATTAAAACGCTTCACCAGATGACTTCTCTTCAAAATTTCGCGACAAAAACGAATTACGCAACGGGAAGTCCGAAATTCAACTCCCGAACAAGATATAAGTGTTTACAATCAGCATTGGTTAACTGGCAAAAATATAAATGACGTCATTTGTACAATCTATATAACTTCCATTTGATCTGTGTTAAGAATGTTTGCCAATACCTCGCTCAGTGGCGTGGCATGCTTTGCGATATATCAATTCATCTGTCATTTAAACCTATGGAAAAGGATCGATGAACAGGGTTGTTCGCAGCGAACACCGTAACAATCGATTCTTTACCATAGCTTCAAAAGGGGAAATTTCGATAATCGATTGTTCACGCCACGCCACTGACCTCGCTCAAGAGTTGATTTCCAGAATTCCCGTTGTATTATTCGTTTTCTGTAAAAAATTTGAGGAGAATTCATGTGAAGTTAATTTCTAGTTTACACCCTGTTTAGCGGTCCATTGCGTAAAAACTTCAGAAATTGAATGTGTTTTCTAAAATAAGAATCGCCTTTTTAGATCATCGCACGCAAAAACGTGTCTAAATCGCAGAAAGAATTACCCTCACGAATTGAGTTTGGAAGTTTAAAGGTGATTCGATGGACGCCATATTTTGTGTCAGAACGGCATGCGATATATCGCATCAATTGGTTCCATTTTTTCAGCTACTCGTCATTTTTCTAGAATTTTGAGATTGCAATTTTGTTGCCCGGGGGCTAAAGTATTCACTTACCAATTTTCACAAACAAATTCAACGTACTAAGGGTGTGTTTTTTTTTACAGAAAAAATATCACATTTGACACTGATATCGAAATTGCACTCGAATGCGATATTTTTCCTTTGAAAAAACCACGCCTTTAATATGTTGAATTTGGTTGTCAAAATTGATATGTGAATTGTTCAGTCTCCTGACAACAGAATTGCAATCTCAAAATTGGAGATAAATGACGAGTAACTGAAAAAATGGAACCAATTGATGTGATATATCGCATGCCGTTCTGACTCAAAATATGGCGTTCATCGAATCACCTTAATGCCAAAATATATTTGCGCTGTAGAAAGGAGAGCAAAAGAGATCATCGAGCAATAACCCCAATATCCGTCACTTGACCCACGCCAAGAGAATGTCTCCGAAAGTATCGGTGTGAAACTCGTCCTCTTAGCTCATTCCCACGCATGGAGAATACCCGTATGATTAGGCGGACCATGTTGGAGGCCCGCGTCTGTTGCTGATTTTCGTCCTTGGGGCATTTTGGCGAGTCGGGAATTTCGGCGGAAACCGACACGCGGTCGTCTCATAACGTCACGTGGAATTTTTCTCGTGTGATTTTTCTCTGCTCTTCGCAATTATCAACGAAAAAGTGAGTTTTCACCAATAATGGCTCTTCGCGAGTCCGTTGACTTGCCTTATAAATCCATTTCGAATATTTTTTACGAGCTTTGAATCGTCGGATTGTATCTATAGGAGTTCATACTACTTTGGGCCGGAATGGAGATGTTGCACGTGTGAGGGATTTGCGATTTGACCATTGATTCTTACGTAAAAGTTCGCGAGAAACACGATGAAGCCACTGGTTTCCTCTGAAATCATCTCCGAAGCTCAAAAAAAGCTCTCAAAGTGAGGCCAAAATGGTGGGGATATCCCACCCTACCGAGAGAGTCCACCTCTACATCAAGACAAACTCTCCATGCAAAGATAGGGAGCAAATACATTAGCAGGGTTGCCGTGTTTTCAGTTTTGGAGTCCCCAAATAAAGTGGCAGCTCTGTCGATGTATTTGCTCCCTATTTTTGCATGGAGAGTTTGTTTTGATGTAGAGGTGGACTCTCAGGGTAGGGTGGGATATCTCCTCCATTTTGGCCTCACTTTGAGAGCTTTTTTTGAGCTTGGGAGATGATTTCAGAGAAAACCAGTGGCACCATCGTGTTTCTCGCGAACTTTTGCGTAAGAATCAACAGTCAAATTGCAAATCCCTCACACATGCAACATCTCCATTCAGTTCAACTTTACTCTGGTCTTATTGAATTTAAACGATGATAATATCATAAACTCGATTGGAAATGGATCGTATTCGATAGTGGTTCAAATCAGCTTTTCGCTACACCGCACTATACTGCACTTGCTGCGAGGGCATACAAAGCCGAAAAAGCCTTCAATTTTTTGGATATGCAACATGGACATCCGTTAAGCGCGAATAGTTGTTGCATCCAGGCGTCATCGTCCGAGAGTACGCATTTCTCGACTATTGCAGCGTTGCAAGTTTTCGTTCTTTTTTATTTATCACTAAGGACACCAAAAATTACTTTCCCTGAAATTTTCCGGGATTTTTCTTATCTCATTCCAAAATATTCACAGAAATTTTCATGGAAATTCTCAAAAAAAAAAAAAAAAAAAAAAAAAAAAAAAAAAAAAAAAAAAAAAAAAAAAAAAAAAAAAAAAAAAAAANNNNGGGGGGGGGGGGGGGATCATCGAAAAAATGTTGAAATATTGAAAGTCCAAGGTTGGCAACGAATTCTCGTTTGAAGTCTCGATTAGGGACATTGTAGAAAGCCCGTTCTATTATGTTTAGTGTCCGGAGAGTTCAAGGCTCTCTAATATCGCATCAATACGTATAGTTTTAAATATTAAAAGTTTCCTCCCAAGGTCTCATAGTTGTTATTTTGAGGAAAAAAGGCTCAAAACGAGGAGAGATGAACTGAAGATAATCGCAGGCACGTGTTCATGATGCCGAACCAGCGGATGCGGAATTTTCATCGGATTGAAGTGCTAACAAAATTGAAGCACTGTTTTTTCTGCATGAAATTCACGGTAGAAGAGTATAAAAATTAAAGTATGAACGTAAATCACAGTTGATAGACCAACAGATAAATGGCATCACCGGTACATAAACGTTACTCAGTAAAATTATTCCTGTGGGTGCTTACAAATCTTTGCTGTAACCCCAGTGTTGCTCGCGACTAACTCGCTCATTCGTTTTCTTGTTAGTGGTTGAAATTACTAATTTTTATGTTATTTAATTCCACAATCAGAAGATCGCTTTGTATCAAATTTTTCATGCAATGGATCAAACTACGTCATAGCCAATTTTGCAACACCGCAATCCTGCGTTTAATTGCCTTTCAATTAAATAACTTCCACATTGAACATATTTTTCTAAAATGATGCGTGATGTTTGTTTCAGGTTTTGTATGTTGGCAAAATCAGGGTCTCTCACAAGAAAGTCTCCGAAACTTTCATTGATGACGCTTTAGACAAATTTAAGCAACATGATCTAGAAAAACGAAACAAAATTTTAGAATCTCGTCGAAATTCTCAGGTAAGTTCTCTAATTCTTAAGATTCTCAAGAACTTTTACCTTCATTATGGGTTTTAAACCTGAATTCTTCGTGTATGTCAATTGAAAACGCGGGACTTTTCTCTTTATATGTTTTGGTTTTTTACCCTAATTTTAGTAAAACATGTTAACTAGCTGAGGCCTTTGCTATTATGTTAATATTTACTCTCATTGCCCAGTAAAATTAAGAAAAGCGGAAAGTGTAATTTTCCTATAAAATCAGAGTCACCTTTATACTGTGCGTTATATTTATTTTAGTCAAATTTATACATACGTTCGAGGCCTTTCGGGATTACCCTATCTTCAAGAGCACTACTAAAATTACACACTACAACAAGCACATAATTACAATGATAAATAATGCATTGAGCACACAAACTACATTACCAAATTATAACATGTAATTTTCCTTCGAAAATAATCCTTAAAAAACTTACGAGAGTTGAAGGATCTGATAGTTAATGCAAATAATGAACCTTAATGATATAATGACGAACGTGTTTGTCCTAGCAGATGGCAAATGTCTAATATCTGTCTTAACTGCCATTTTAATTGAACACACCGGCAGAAGTTGATTTTGCCTTCACGACCGGTGCGAGGATAAATTGGACGTACCTATTCATGCCAAAAGAACTAAGTTCATAGGGTTTGTGTGAGATATAGTTCCTTTTAGCATAAATTCGTCCGATTGTCACTCACGCGACAGGAAGAATTTTGGCGAACTTTTTTTGCCACTCGCAATACGCCGGGTGCACTCAGATTTTTCCAACGAGTAAGAACTTCATGCTGCCGCCGCCAACTGTTCAATTTATTGAACTGTCCTTACTGTAAAATTTTAATGTAATTTTTTTTTCTTTTCTTTTCTTTTTTGTTTTTGTTTTTTTGCTCTCTCATGAAGAATTTTTGCGAACTTTTTTTGCCACTCACGATATGCGTGGTACACTCATAGTGTTTCAACGAGTAAGAGCTTTATGCTGCCGCTGTCTACTGTTCAATTTATTGAAATAATTTACTTTTTGTAATGCTTTTTTTCAGACCTCGGATATAAGTTCCTCAGAAACAAATAGCAGTAATGGACCTTTTGTGAATTCTCTCAGCGCACCTGTATCTGCATCAGAAGGCAAATCAGGTTCGGAGGAAGTATTAAATAAAAGTGACGAAAACAATGTTTGGCCCACCAACAAAGCCCCGTAAGTATCAGTTAAAATCAAGATTTTCCTCCAGTTTATTTATCAACATTCAGTCTCATTATTATTTATTTCATCCGTACCGAGACTGTACCGTCTTTTGTATGCCTTTGGAAGGCATATCCCGAATGTCAAGAACTCCTGGATTTTTATTGATTTATTACTCATTTGTGCGTAAAAGCCTTGTGGTGCTTGCACAGGTCAACACAGGAAAAATTTTGACCTTGGCCCAAACTAACAAAATTTGGATTAAACTTTTTTTGCTCCAAGTATCGAATTCTTTATTTTTCACTCTGTTACTCTGAAACTGCGACGTAACTAAAAAATCTACAACCAGTAAAATCTGTCGGTAAAAATATATGTACTACCTCATGAGAAGACCTAACCATCTTTCCTACAAATGATCGGTGAACAATATTCAGTAGATGAAATAGATTGCATTTTGGAAAAAGGAACCAAGAGCATTCCAATGTTAATAGGCTTGTTTAAAATACATTCTTTGCCATAAAACCACTGAAATCATGCATATATTTAAAACATAGGTAATTCTTTGCTTGATTTTTCTGTTTATTGGAAGTAAAGATAAAACTCATTTAGGTGATCAGTTAATATTTACAAGGCAAAAAAAGTTGCACAATCTTTGCGACATTGGAATGCTGGTGGTTCCTTTCTGCAAAATACAATCCAAATGTTATTGGCAAAGAGTGTATGTATTTCCATTCCTATCTTTATGATTTTTGATAAACTGTCTAGGTCTCTCATGTCCTATTATGTTTGTGTAAAACCTCATTTTCTTTGAATTTTTTAGTTTTGATCATTTGGCAGCGTTTTAAACCATAGTTTTATGTTTTTTATTTTTTCAGATCTGGAGTTCCTCAGAGGTTAAGAGCAGGTTCTGTGGGGAACCTAGTTTTAGGCAAATCAGAATCCTTGGTGAGTATAAAATTACTGTATACTTTCTAAAAACTAATTTGAATCCAACAACAGAAAATCAGCATAATTTGCTGCACCCAACCTAATTTTTATGACAACTTAATGGCATCTTTGGTATAATATTTATCAGATTGATAATAGGAACTACCATTTACTCTTTAAAAATAAAGATAGCTATTAATTTAAATGAAATATTTTTAGTTATAAAAAAGGGAAAGAAGAAAAAGAATCTAGAAAAGGATGCTTTTCATTTACCAGGAACTTACAGCATACATTATCTTACATATTTTTCTAAGATCAGAGGAAAAAATCTGTTTGAGGAATGTCTGAAGAGCTCAAGCTTTGAATTTTAATCAGCGGGATTAATGCCCAGGCAGGAGCAGGCTGCTCTTGAACTTGCAGTCACCTCCAACGTCCTTCAAAATTTTATGATCCAGTAAATTGAAACAGTGTCATAAAATCTGCGTATCATGAGCAAAACTAGCTGGGCATGTTCTCCAATTATAAATATGTTCGTCCAAAGAATTGAAGAGAAAAGAAATGGGTGAGAGGATGAATGCGTACTCCCATTTTTTGTTTTAAAATAAACTATTCCTTCTAAATCAAGCCCATGTGGTGAAACTTTTTATATTTCCTTTAATAAAATGACAAAAACATTGCTGAAGTGTGGAATCAAGGATCTCAATTTTTCAGGAGATGGTTAAAAGTTAAAACTTAATGTTTTCCTTTTTAGAGAATATGTAATGGTGTCATTATTGCATTCTGCAGTTAATTCCGATTTTTGTGTATATTCTTTGCACTGGGAAAAAAAGTATTGTCTTTAACTTGGGCTTTTATCATTAGTCAACTTTTAAAGAATGAGCAAACTTCTTTCTATTTTCTGAACTCAAAATTAATTGTCATCCCTAGAATAAAATGAATACCAGAAATGTGAATAACGAATTCCCTGTTTTCATATTTTGTGTTCCAATTTTTTTTTTCTATAGGTCAATGGTCAGCCTCCTATTAGTGATCTGAATAGAACTATGTTATTTCAAGTGGGCCGATCGGATTTACGACTGATTAGTCCAGACCGCAAACAAATTCTTCTCCACAAAAATCTAAAGGACCTCACATGTTGTATTCAGGTAACAATTCAAGCTTTTTCTATTTAGCCTTGTTGGACAGTAACAATTTCTCTCTTCTACAAGTTTTTTCCACTTGCTATATTTCTTTTTTTCTTCGTTTTTAAGACAAAATTTGAAGCGAAAATAGCCTTTACTCAAATCAAAGTAAACCAGGAAGTATGTATGTATAAAGTCGCTTTTATAGCGCTCTTTGGCGCTCTGCGACCCCTAGCCGCCAAAGTCCCCTATCCTCCCAAAGCCCTTCAGGGAGTTGACAAACCCTCATTTCTTCTAAAATCCCCTGTCGCCACCCTTTCACTGGGCGTCCCCTTCGTCCAGGAAGTATCATAGCATGAAAAATTGCTCATCATGTTCTGGGATCTACACCTCTTGATCATTTTATTTCTTTTAAAATCCTTGGATTAGGTCCAGTAGCTTTGAAAAATTTCCCTGAAAATTCATATTTAATTATGTAATTATTTTTATTACCCCATTCTGGCATGACAAATTCTTCTATCACGGTAACAGGCATCTTAGTCTCCAGATATTTTTTTTAAATCCTGAACTCTGATTCGGTATCCTTGGAATATGTGTTCTTCCAAAAATTCATTTTTTATTTATTTTTACATTCATACAGGACGATTGCCCCCTATAAAAAGAAAAAAAATGGAAAATGGCATGTTAAAAAAAGATGCAGGCATATAATCTTTGCACTTGCAATGACAGTAAGGAAAATTAATTTTATGGTTTTGATTCCTTAAAGTGTCTTTTGCTTCATTTCTAAAACTGAAAAAAGCAGCAATTTCTCTTTTTTCTCTTACTTTTTTCATCTAAGTATTTTATTCTTGTCTTGCAGGGCAAAAAACACAACGCACATTTTGGTTTCATCTGCCACCAAGGCGATCCTAACTCGGAAGTATATATAGGCTACGTTTTCAAATGTGAATCAGAGTCTGTCGCAGACGAGGTTGTAGCCGCAATTAACCAAGCTTATGGAAATACGATGGATGCAGCCAAGAAGGAAAAGCAGCCAGTGATGTCATGTGACCACTGTCCGATGGTTTGGTTCCACAAGCTTTGCACAGAACTGGATGGATTAAGTGACAAGAAGGTATATTCTTCAGTGTCCTTTTTTAGCTATTTTATTCTGAAATAATCACTGCAAGAGCAGAGAGATTGATTTTTGGAATTCTTATCTAAAATTGGCAATCAGAGAAAATGAAATGCTAGTAATTCTAATGGCTTGGAATATTACACGGATATTAGGATTTTTCTGAGTAAATATTCCAGTAAATACTAGTGTTCAAATTATTTCAAGAAAAATTTTGAAAATCCTAAAGTAGAATCTTGGAAGTTTGTCTTGAATTATCATATTTCCTCGTGTGTTACAGGTACAGTCAGTGATCTACCGGAAGTTGGAACTGTTACCAGAGGAAGAGCAACAGATCGTGTTGACAAAACTTCATGGGGCTGAGACTTTGAGTAATATCGAGTTGAAAGAGCAAAATGAACTGATGATGATGTTGTTGCGAGCACATTGCGAGTCAAAGCAGAGTAGACATGTGCATGACACAGCGGAAAATAGGTACACGCATCTGCATTGAACTTCCAGATTTTTTCATTTTTATTTTACAGAACCTAACAGCTAATATGTTTCAAAAAGCTAAAGATAAATATTAATACCAGTCTACAGATTGCAGAATCTCCAATTGTAACAGATATTGAAAGAATAGCAAATGGTTAACTGATGGGATTTGGAGGAAACTTTTTTGCACAAATTAAATTTTAAATTGATCCAAACACTTTACAGATTTCCTTGCTTTCTGAATTATGTTTACATTAGAACTCATCATTTCTCGTAATGTGTGTAATTTCTCTGTTTCCTTTTTTTTCAGGCATGAATTTTTGAATCAGTATCTTGGTGGTGGCACAATATTCATGAAAGCCAAAAGATCGCTCACCAGTTCATTCGATCAGTTACTCAAAAGGAACGCAACTCGAGAAGAACCCCATTTGCCACCTATTACGAAGGAATTAAGTCTTCCAACTAACTCAACACTTTGCAAAGTACGTCAATCAACGATTGAAGAGACCGAATAATGTCTCTCTTTTAATTTTGAAAAATATTCGTTTCGTTCCTAAGACCACCATTGAGCAATACCCACATTTTCTTTTGACGCTTGATTAAAGCTGCATGCCATCCACCTGAATCATACATCAATAAGACCAAAATACACAAACTTAAAGCTGTACAAAAATTCTCTTTTTTTTGTAGTGAAAGTCTGTTGTGAAATCCAAAAACCACATATATACTCACTTGGGCGTAATATAGAGTCGCAATATCGATATTAATTTATGTGCAAGTGACCATTTACATGGTTTCTTAAATTTTTCTTGTGTAGTTCTTTGTAGCTATCTGATTTTCTGTTATAAAATACGGAGCTGTTGTTTCAAAGAAAACAACTGATCATCCAACTTTTAAATTACCAGGAATTCTACCATGAATTTTTGCATGATATTAAAGAACATATTCACAAATATTTTCATCAGAATGTATCTTAGCGCTCTGTTGAAAAATTGAACTTTGAGAGGAAATTAGGCAATGTCTGGTATAGTTAGATTAATTCTGGTCAAACCTTTAATTTTTTTTGTGTTAAACTTGTCCAATTATTATTTCTGGTTCGTATTTGAAAATATCTCATAATGCTGTCATAATTATTTCTCTACAGGATAGTTCATCTTCCAACTCTGGATCATTGGATGTACCTGATTCTCCAAGACCACGGAGCTCAACAATTGGCTCCATGTCCTCTTCTGACTTTAGATCCAGTGATTCCTCAATGAATCCCTCTGACTCAGTAGAATCTGAACTTATGACGCCCAACAAGAGTCCTATGTCTATGATGAACATGTACGTAAAATTTTTTGTCCAAGAAATTGTATTTTTTATTTAAATTTCTCAGCAACCTAGAAAATAAGGAGAAAATAGTGAGGACTGTGCAAAACCAGAATTTTTGATGATTTTTCCAAATTCTTTACGTTTTTCATGATTTATCCTGCCAAATTACACATTTAAGGTGATTCGATGGAAGCCATATTTTGGGTCAGAGCGGCATGCGATACATCGCATCAATTGGTTCCATTTTTTCAGCTACTTGTCACTCTTCTCCAATTTTGAGATCGCAATTCTGTTGTCAGGAGACTAAAGCACTCACTTACCAATTTTAACAAAGAAATTCAACGTATTAAAGGCGTGGTTATTTTTAGAGAGAAAACATCGCATTCGATACTGGTATCGAAACTGCACTCGAATGCGATGTTTTCTCTCTCTTAAAAAAAAAACACGCCTTTATTACGTTGAATTTCTTTGTTAAAATTGGTAAGTGAGTGCTTTAGTCTCCTGACAACAGAATTGCGATCTCAAAATTGGAGAAGAGTGACAAGTAGCTGAAAAAATGGAACCAATTGATGCGATATATCGCATGCCGTTCTGACCCAAAATATGGCGTCCATTGAATCACCTTCAATGTGTAATTTGGCAGGATAAATCATGAAAAACTGGTTCATGAAATTCAATCATGAAATTCTGGTTTTGCAGTCCTCACTAGTACAAATTAAAAGTCTCAGCTGCCTGGGCAGTTTAAATGCTTTATTTTCAGTTCATCTGCCAGATGTTACAGTTTGCACTGTGGTTTTTCATATTTTAGTCTCATCTTAAAAATGGGTGACATTTCGTTTTTTATTTTCAGATTTTTAAAGGTTGGAAATTCTCCGAAAGCATCATCAGATGACAGCGATGAAGGAGGGGACACTCCGCCTCAAGGTTCTTGGAGACAGGCCATCTTCAACAATGTCGTCACCCCTGTCAAAGCTCAACAAGCAGGTAAGTATTTTCAACTATCCTTTCAGAAACGGTTATTTTCCATGGCCAAAATAATGAGCAATCGTAGAAATTGAGAAAGTAACATTTTTAAACAAAACGATCGCAAATTTCTTATTTTTTTTTTAAGGAGTTCCTAGACTCCAGCTCTTTAAAAAGCAGCAGTAAATTACAGTTTGAATTTGTGTCTAGCAAGTTAATTTGACGGATTTAACCAGAATCAGTTAACTTTGTTTCTAAATTTATAAAAGTTGAAAGTATTATCTGTACCACCAAACAATTTTGAGCTTTAAACATGGCAGATGGAAACTTAATTCAGCTCTTCTTATTTATATCATTAGTTCATGGCTGCCAAAATCACAAAAATTGTGAAATGAGCAAAAATCAAGAAAATTTAAAGTCATTTAATGTTCAACAGTACAATAATACAAAAGTATAGTGACAGCAATACTATACTGTAAAACATAAGTTTTACGTTCGTTAGACTAGTCATAAAACATTGAAGAGAACTTAATCCATCATGAAAAAATCGAAATCTTGTAGGCATGAATGCCAAGTTAATCAATGGGTCAAAATCAATTCTTTTTCCTCACTCGTTGAATATATTTGAATAGTTGTTGTAAACTTCAGCTTTGATAGAAAATAACAATATTGACCTTCTAAGTCATTAATTTCTTAGGAAGGAAGCAGAAAAGAGTACGTCCTTACGATAAAAACAGTAATTTGTATAGTGTGTTTATGTTTTAACTGTATGATGATTAAATACAGTCAGGTAAACAAATTCTGATGCTCATGCTTTGTTCCTATTTTACAGATGTTAAAAAGGCAAAACGTGACAAGTCGGAATACAGAGCCTTATGGCAGAAAGCCATCAATCAGCAGCTATTGCTCATCAGAATGGAGAAGGAAAATGCTAGACTCAGAGGTAATCCCTAGAACTCTTTTCTAAATTTCACTTTTAAAATGTGATAAGTTTTGAAAATAGCAATGGCTTGGTCCGATGTTTCATTCCCTCATTCTTTCCCCCAACCAAGCTCAGTAAACTTGAAGCTCAAACATACCCGGAACTTGGAATCAAATTAAAACATTTTTTTTTTTTTTAAAGAAGAAAATAAAATATCAAAATAAAAAAAAATGAATTTTTTCAAGAATACCTATGAACGCAAATTATCTCTGTTCAAATATTTATCACAATCCATTTTCTCACTGGTAAAATCTACCTTTATTGTGCTGTTTCAGTATTTTTATGAATATTTATTTTTTCATGGGAGAGTTGTTGCATTAATTTGCCAGAGAATTTTAGAAAATTTATATAAAAGTGAGGGTACAGGAATTTTTCAGACAAATTCTTGAGACCGATATCTTGTCAGAAGTTAAAACTTCGGTGAGAAATACTGAAACAAGTTAGTCAAGATCCGCTCCTTCGCGAGGGAGACAACGAATCAATGAAGAAAACCAACAATCAAAGATGTCAAACAGCAGTTGCATTCACATGCTGTATGTCTCTCATTCATAATTGCTTGTTTTGTTGCCACTTATGTTCTAAACATTGTAGAGTTAAGTATACTGCCACATATTTTTCTCAACCATTATTTCAACCATTTTTTGTAGCGAGGCAAGAAGAAGCAACTGTAAAAAGAATTAAACTTGAGTACGATGACATTGGGTCCTGTGCACGAGAAAATCTGCCGTTTTGGGAAAACATTGTCTCCAATCACGGCAAGCGGGATCATCAAATGATTCTACAAGCTGTGAGGCAAGGTGAGCAAAATTTACCAAATACGTCTGTTTCTGGACTTTTAGGAAGTAGAGAACAACATTGATGATTTTTTAACTGAAAATGTATCTGAGAATTCCCTTTATCCTACTGAAATTCATCATAATTTCACAGAACACTTTCTTGGCAAAGTTACTGTAATTTGTTCCTAGTTGGGCAAAAACTCATGTGATAGCATGGTGAAAGGTGACACCTGTTAAAAAATTGCATCAAAGATTGCAGTGTACTTCATATTTACATCTTTAATATTATTTCTCTCATAATTAGTTTTATGATAGACATTAAGGGCTCGGCAGCTCAATGATAATTCATAGCAAAAAGGACCAGTTTTTATGACTATTTTGGCCCAGGACAGTTTAAGAAAAAAAGAATATAACTGGCATTCCAGAGAAGGTGTTTAATAGACGGATTGCATTTTGCAAAAAGGAACCAAGAGCATTCCAATGTCGCTGAGATTGTGCAGCTCTTTTTACCATGCAAATATAAACTGATCATCTATACAAATTTTATCTTTACTCCCAATAAGCTATGAGTTCAAGATGAAAATTACCATTGTAAATTTAATTTGTTGCACGATTTCGGTAATTTTCTGCAAAAAATATGAGTCGCACAATTTTAACAACATTGGAGTGCTCTTGGTTCCTTTTGCAAAATGCAACCCAGATATTCTTAAGAATTAAAAAGAGCAATCAATAGTCACTGATTTATTAAAGTCCCAGTTGGATTGTGTAGTTTGAAAACACACCATTTATTTTCCTTGAAACTCTTCTATTGACTCTTTCCAATCAAGCCTGACTATTTTAATAGCTTTTCTCTCATATTAAAGTAATTTAAGGCTTAAAATGTGTCTTTCCTGTTGTTTAAAAAACTCAACATGATAGACATTGATCAGGATCGGCCAAGAAAATTGTTTACATAAAAAATGAGTTGTCGTGTTTTTGAACAACACTATTCAATTTCTCTTTCATTCAAAAATTTTAAGTAATTTAATTCGCTCTTTAGTTGAAAATTTCAGTTTCTGGAAAAATTCAATTATTGAAGGGTGAGTTTATTGACACATGTTTGTTGACATTTTGTTTTAAATTGTGTTTCTAATCATCTTTTTTTTCCAGGTGTTCCTCGGAGCAAAAGAGGCGAAGTTTGGATCCTGTTGGCAGAAGAGTATTGCCGCACTTTACCCCCTATTGATACTCAAAAGTTCCCCAAGTACAATGTTCCTTATGATGAGTTGCTCAAACAGCTCACATCTTATCAACACGCTATTCTCATAGATTTAGGTATGCCAACAAACCTATCGCAACCAAAAGTTTTCTATACTCAAGCCTAGTTTCTTTTAGTCCTTTGATCATAATTTTTGCGGTAGTTTTCTTTCTCTTCTTCTTTTTTCTTGGTTGTCTGAAATATTTTCCTGTAAAACCGAAAACGTAAAAATTTCTTTACTCACCTGTGTTCAAAGTGTCTGAACAAAATGTTTCTTGATACTGTAAGGATTTTCTCTCTTTTTCGAAAGAATCTTCAGAATTTGCACTAACAAATCATATGTCAACAGTGGAACTGCAAAAACACATGTATTGTTTGCGGTTTGTCGAAATTTCAGCTCCCATTTTATTTGATTCAAGGAGAATATATTAGCACCAACACTATCTCTCCACACAGAGGAGAAAATTCAAAGAAATTCTCATGGAATCACCCATGAAATCCCATTGAGTCTTTTTCCACTTAAAATATAAATTATGACAGGAATATTGCAATGTCACTAACGGAGGTAAAGATTGTGCAGTTTCACCGTTGATGTATCATCGATTGTATCAATGTATTTGGTGATGAAATACATATTAATTAAGTCTTAATGTCCTGATGCACAGTGTAATTTTTGGCTATCTAGGGCAATACTAGAAAACTATGGTCTCCAAATAAAATTGCTGTAAGCATTTTAAGGAATTTTAAGTTAAAATTTACAAAACGTACACAAAAATTGTGTGCAAAATGATTTGATTGATCTTTTCATTCCATCTTGTGTTTCAGGTCGGACTTTTCCAAATCACACATATTTTATGGCTCCCTTAGGCCCAGGTCAGCTGTCTCTATTCAATTTGCTGAAAGCTTACTCACTGATTGACCCAGAAGTTGGTTACTGTCAGGGTCTCAGCTTTATTGCAGGAGTCTTACTTCTACATGTAAGTCGAATTAACACTCAGTGTTTCTTTTACAATAAGAAGAAAATAATTTAACCTGTTCTCTGCCTGATAATAATGAACCATGCATCTTTGTCTTGAAAATTGCCATAAAATTGTTGAACACAAATTTTCTTCAGCCAAAAAGAACTATATTTGGCCTACTACACTTGTGCTGAATTCACCCAAACATATACAGAATAAAGTATACTATTATTTTTCCCCATTTTTCTCAATCATACGTTTTTCTTGGTGGTTTTTTTCTCATGATTAGTTTTGACGTACATTTTAATTTTTTCCCTTCAGATGTCGGAGCAGGAAGCATTTTTAATGCTGCGACACATCATGTTCCGAAAAGGTTTGCGAACTCAATACCTACCAGATATGGGAGTGCTCCAGGTGAAATTGTATCAACTGTCAAGGTTGCTGCATGACCTCCACCCAGACCTGTACGCTCATTTTGACAGGCATGATGTGCCTCCAACCCTCTATGCTGCTCCGTGGCTTCTCACCTTATTTTCCTCACAGTTTCCTCTTGGTTTTGTGACGCGAGTTTTTGGTAAGCTTTATTTTCCTGATCTGAAAATATGTGTGATGTTATTTTCGAATTTTCTTTTCAAATTTCGTCTTTCCTACGAATTTTTTTGGTATTTTCTGTCTTATGATATAAAACTATTCGCCACTCCATAGAAATAAATTGACTTCAAAGGGATAAATTTTAAAATGACAATGATACAGCAGCAGCACCTCTAATAATTTTGGATTTCAATCATTTTTTATGTCTTTTCTCATTATTGCTTATTATTTATGAAAAACTAACATGAGACCAATCTTCTATAAAGTAGTCTCTTGTCAAATGGTGTTCCGTTTAAAAGAAATCCTTCCCTCTGCAAACTATTGTTTTAATCGATATGTACCTTTGTGTACATAGGAAAGGAATACAATGAAAATCAGTGATTACAACTTCTTATGCGTCCCCAAAAATTCAATTTAAAACATCTATTTTGCCCTCATTCATCTATTCTCAACCTAAAAACCTAGTGCAAGCCAGTTTGTTTTACTCACTATCGGGATTTGAAAAGTGTTCCAAAGAAACCAGTATCCTAACTTTGGGCTCTCTCAAATTCATCATTTTTTACCTTTCTCTCTTCTTGGTTTTTCCCAGATTTACTTTTTGTGGAGAATGTGGACGTTTTGTTCAGAATCATTGTTGCTCTACTGAGTTATCACAAGGATGGTCTCCTTGCCTGTGGCACCTTCGAAACAATAACTGACTATATCAAATTAAAAATGCCAGAAGTCAACAAGAATATCTTGGACAAAGTTATGAAGCAGGTACGTTGGTTTAGATTTTTTTTGTATTTCTTTTTTTGGAACCATACAGGAGTATAGCAATGATCTGTAGATATACAGCTTCAATGATTCTACTACAAAATTAGTAGAATTTGTTAATTTGTTAATTTGTTGAATTTGTTAATTTGTTACATATTTGTAACATATCGTAGCAAAATGTGGCAGTACAAATAGATGAGGATGAGATAAGTAACGTTTGAGAATTACCTACATATTTCCTTCCAGTTTGCAAATCTCTTCTCTTTTGACACTGAATGGACTGATATTTTTCATTAATGCCCAAGCACCTGTATCCAAGTTTCGCAAAGTTGGAAAAAAGCGTGTCATCTGGGTGTGTTCAGTGTTTTGAGCCCGATTTCAGTAGGTATTTTTCAGGCACATATGTACGTGTACAATTTTGAGTTCACAAGATTTAGTACCTGCCGAATGGCACAGTATTTTCTGTTTTCCTCTAAAAGTTGAAACTCGGATTTTGGCGCTTGGGTCTTTCAGGAAAATATTGGTTCAATTCATGAATATCCTATTAATTAGTTTACATCAATCTCATTAATGATGAATCATTAGTTATCATGCGACCAAAATAGTAATCATTCCCAAAAATAACTTTCTCATCGTGAGAAACCACAAGGGAAGGAGTGCCTAAGCACTCGATTTTGGGTTCAACCAAAGGTCAATTCTGATCCCTGTCTTCAAAAAATCTATTCAAATAGCCCTGGATAAGTATGTAAAAATTTCAATTCAAATTTTGAGATCTGATTCAGTCCTTTTTTTTTTTGACAGGTATTCATCTCTGATTACACGAAGCAGCTCCACGAGTATGGTGTGGAGTATCACGTACTTCAAGAGGAAATGTCAACACCGCGACCGGAAGTCAAGAAGGTCAAGCACTTGGAACAAGTTAACAAAGCCTTAATGCAACAGAACAAATCCCTATCAGACCAGTTGGAGATGGCAACCAGCAACGTGAAACGTCTTGAATCGTGGCGAGCCAAAGAACTCAGTAAAATGAACCGATTAGAAATGGAAGTTCGAAGCCAAGAAATAACCATTAAAACCCTCGGTAACTTCATTTCAAAATTGGCATACGAGAATACAGACATTGAAGTGCCATCAGAAGTGCTTCGAATCATCACAACCCTGAATACCTCAGAACGACGGAAGAGCATCACCAAGAATCCCATCACGAGGTCCTCCACCAATGATCAGCTCTATCATCCTAGCGCAGCGCCAGTGAGAGAGGAGCACGAAAGGTCTTTCAAGTCAACGATAAGTTCACCTAATCTAACGTCTAAAGTCTCTTCATTTTTCAACTCGCACAATCAGTTCAGAAACAAGAAAACAGACTCAGAAAATCCACTGAGAATTGTAGAAAACCAACCGTACCTCAACCCACCTGAGGGGCTGCGAAAGTCCTTATCAGATTCAAAAAGTCTCCAACTAACCCCTGATCGAACTGGGAGATTAAGTTTAGGTCGAGTGTTGACGGACAATGATCTTAAATCATTGAAAATTGCTGTTGATCATAACACAAGAGCAAACAGCAAATCTAGTTCAATGCCAATGTCTGACAAGTTTGCCCTCAATTCTGAGTCAGATCTCAAAGAATCTTCCAAGCCTAAAGAGGCCCCGTCTCCAAATGACGAAAATGCCAACTATTCTTGTGAAAACTTAATCCACCCGCTAGACTCACACGATGTGAATATTTCTTTCAGTGGAACCACAAAATTGAAGTCCATCAAACCATTGCGACCAACTCGTAGTGAAACAAGTTTCAATCCGGTAGCATTAAGTAATGCAATCAATAACCACTTTTCCAACAGTAACATTAGTTGTCGAAATTCAAACTTGAGTGTTTTAATCGAGTCTCCAACAGGCACTCCACGAAAAATTTCACAACAACAAGACAAAGATGCCATAATCATAGGTGATGATGCATTCAATCCGAAAATCACTTTGAATGATAGCACCATGACTACAAATAACAATAGTCCTCTTACTCAAGCTAAAACAGACATTTTATCACGATGAAACTGATACAGCAGTGACTGTGAGAGGCGGCTGTAAAAAACTTGATGACTCTTGCACACGGTTGGAGATTTCATATATTTTATTCTTGAAGAGAGGCAGGAATTCGTTGCATCATACAATGCTTCATGAAATTAAATTACGTATCTGTGAACTGCCATACCAATATCTCCCAAAATGATGGTGATCATCTCTTACCCAACTGTAAAAGTCATTTAAACATTCTTGGATTTTTACCACTCAACTTTTAGATGACTGAATTACAATTTTGAAATGTATCCATAAAATTTCAATCCTCTTCAAGAGAACAGTTCAATTAATTATGGGCGAAGCATTTCAGTGGAGGGCTTTGAAACTTGCGTTTTGGAGTAATTTGTCTTCACCTCAGTCACTGATACATAATGAGCTTTACGGATCTGCCTTTAATAAGAAATTTTTTGTTTCCAGTCTGAGAAGTATTAAACCTTAAAATTGCTAGTAATAAAAGACTCTCAACAGTTTAGTGAGACTTTTATTTTAACCACTTTTCATTGCGGTTCTATTCGCTGAGTGGCGATCAATGTAAAAGGCTGTATAGTCAATATTCTGAGCTTTTTAATGGGTGAAGTCTCATTGATACATTTCCAGCAATGCTCATTAGTCATCGTAGCCTTCATTGCATTGTCTAAAAGCTTCTTAACTGTAATTGCGAGAAGTTCAGGTGTTTTTTTGTTTCTAATTACTCCAATACCTTGTTTTAAACCCTGCAGTCAACTAGTTGAAGCACCTTATTTCTGCTTCTATAAGAGCAAGGCTAAACTCACTCGCTTTTCAAATTCATATAGGTTTGCATTTTGTGATGTTAACTACGATTCAGGGTCTTGACAATCATTGACTCACAGTTAAAATTTCACTCAGAATGATACCTATTCCATAGAATCTCTAATCTGTAAAATTTGACACTGCCTACCTTGACAGGCTATCCAGTAATGTAGAGCTTCAGCCCTCTTTGTACAAGCATATTCTGACTGATCCCTTGATTTTCGACTGATTCTTTTAGTCTGAGCTAGTGACTATGTATATTAATCTTGAAACCCTCTCTGAGTCAAGGGAATTTAAACTGGCAGGCTAGAATTAAGTTGGTACGTCTAAGCGAAGAGCTCATAATTTTAGAGCCTTGATCATGAACATTGATTTTGTTTTGTTGTTTATCTTCAGCCGTCATTAAGATTCCTACAATTTTTTCTAGTTTGTTTCTTTCCTCATTCATTTTTTGCAACCTACGCATTCTTTTTCAGAAAAACAGAATTCTATGACTTTTCATCATGAGTCTAGTATCAGTTACCCTACTCTTCTTATTGCAGACGGAACTTAAATTTTTAGAACTGAATTTTTTCAATACTCCTTGCATTAAACGACTCCATGCTAAATTTAAGTAGACGATCCCTTGTTTTATTCTTTTTTGTAGCTAAGATAGTCAAATGAGTCCTTCCCCAGCCATTATTGTGGCTTTGTTGGCAAATGTGTTGTAATATTTTCAGTGCCGTACAAAACTCGTGAATTGGTAAAAATCTGATTTTTACTTCTATGTATCTTAGATGTACCTTGCGTATTTGTGATAGTATTTTAATTTTAGGTTTTTCTCTTCTTTTGTCTGTATAATTTGTAAATAGGTCAAATTTGCCGCACGCCTGGCCAGTTGAACAAATGTATTTTTCTAAGGAGACTTTGAAAAACAAGACTTTCCGGTCGTGCTATTGTTAGCTCAACATAGTTTTTCTGTGAGAGTTAAATGTTTATTTGTACTTCTCTTGGTTCCCATTGTATTTTGTGTAAGTCCTAGTTAATTTATTTGTTTGTTACTGATCTGATACATGTGCTTTCCACAAGTTTTTGCTAACTGTAGCTGTGCTTAACCAAGAACTATCAGGTTTCAGAGAGATAATTTTCCTGTCAATTGTGTAGGTAGAAAAGGAGAATTTAAAGCACATCATATAATAAGTAGAGTAATATTGATTAATTTCTTTAATGCGTACACGATTTCTGTCAATTCATCCAGTAATTTCTTTCAGGGGAAGTTTTAATTTTTATTACTGTTATAAAAATTTATTTATTTTTTTTTTTGGAGGGGGGAGTTTATTGAACCGAGCAAATTAATATTGGAGTGTAAAGTTGATCGAAATACCTCATAGGAAAGACTTCTCAATTACCATTTTTTTTTATAATCTCTACAGGTTTTAAGTGATAATTTGTCGCTCCTCTGGCGTTAGGGCATAACTGTTTTTGGAGTAAGGTGTCATTCTCTATATATCTCTGTGCTTTTCAGGGCTAATGTATAAATTGAGGTACGTCCTTAAGTCAAAGAAGCGATAAATGTTAAAATCACTAAATTTAGCACCTCAAGCTGTGTATATCATGTGGAGAAAGTTGTTGAGATGAGTCATTGATTTATCGACCATTGTTATTTATTTGTTGCTGTTTTTATCAGTTTATACATCATTGTGCCTAGAAACTCATTTTCAAAGAGCCTTATGCGTATTCAAATTCCTCAAATGACCTGTACATATATTTAAATGATGATGCCAATGTAAATGAATAAAAGAGAATCTTTTGAAAACTTTACTTTTCTTTATTTCATTTTGATTTCAAAATATTCTGATCACTGAAAAATTTAAATCCTAAAAAACCGCTAAATTTTCCCCATCTTTCACAAAGAGCGATGGGCATTCATTTGTTAACATACTGGATTCACTGATGAGGTTGAAATTGAGGAAGAAAACAAGAAAAGCTAGATTAATATACCTTCAGCACATTTGCAGTGAAACAGAAAAACCGCGTACCTCGATTGCAGTATTTCAAAATCTCTGCTGGTATTTTATTTTACAAAAGGAGACTGAATCAACATCATTGCTTGAAATTTTCACAGAATATTCTTCTCGCAAAGGAAAATACTCACTGAAATTTTCAAGGAATAATGCAGAGAAGTCGTCCATTTTCTTTCTGCAGCAAAAGATAATGGAATTGATATAGTGCATCAGATCATGAAAGCTGGAAATGACATCGTATTCCATGTCGTGACCAAAAAGTTAGTTTGTTATGGTCGTGTTAGGGATGTGAAGGAAGAAAGGCAAAAAAGGCGCTTGATTGGTTTTTTCCAGGGAGAAGACCAAGAAGGCCGATAAAAATGTGCCAACACAGGATTGTACAAGAAATACAGGAGTGCCACCTCCGAACAAATCTTTGGGATAGGGGCCTATTGTCACAGAGCATCAGAAAGCAGCTTGTAGGGACATATGAGGACTTATATGTATGTAACAATGGCGGATGTGAAAAATTACCTTTTCGAAACACATTAAAAAAACTGTTTTATCATCGAGAAAATTTTGAGGAAATACTTGAGATGTGATCTTCGAGATCTGTACATTATGCCAGAGCCAAACATATTACATTCTTGTGTGAACAAAACAGTTTTTTAAGCGTGTTTCGAAAAGGTAATTTTTCACATCCGCCATTGTTACAGATAAGATCTCATATGTGACTATGATGGTACGTCTGCATCTCACCAAACCGAGATGTGCGTTTCTGCAGTTTCACTGTCGATGTGATCTCTTCCTCAATTACCCAGTCAAAAGAACACTGAAAAAAGATGCTCAAAACATTATTAAAAAAGTTTTTAATTCACAAATTAACATATATGTACTTTACAGTTTGAAAAATAAAAATAAATACTGGCTGATTTTCTTATCTGCCAAAAGGAAAGATGCTGACAAAGATGTAACTGACTGAAGCTTTTCAACAGGTGGATGAACGCAAGTTCCAGATCAGAGTTTGAAAACAGACGATCAGCTTCTTTGGATTTTCCTCCACTTCCTAAAAAAAGTGAAATTCCACTGAATTAAAAGAGGAAAACTGAGCACAAGAAAAATTCTAGGGTGTAAAATATATCTATCTGAAAAGAAATAGTGAGAGTTTCACACCTTGTGGCGCCTTCGGAAAAATATCGTTGCCAGCTTGACAGTCTACAACACGATGAAGGAATTTATTACTTTCAACCTTCCTTAACGTAGTTGAAAAACTTGCAGCAATAGTTAAAAGGTAACCATGGATGTATTTCATTCGCCATGGCACTGATCATGATGATGCTTCTTTTTTACGTCTATATGACTAGTAATTACATATTTTTAATTTCTAATGATCGTTGAGAGTTAGCAAATCTTGCACATTCACAACTACTTGAGAAAAAAATTACACCTTCAAAAAGCAATCTGCTTTATTTGAAAAAATAAGATCGTACAAATTTGCTACATACTTTCTCTGAAAAAAGAAAACTATTTACAACCTATGTTACTTGAAGAAAGGAGTATTTCATATATATAGATACTTATTTCATATGAGTATATTCATAGTGTGCAATGATGTGACGGCTGCCTTAAAAAATTTGAAAAAGAAGAGTATTATATAAGGGTCTAGGAACATAAAAAAATTACAGATGATACTTACAGGTGGCTGATGACAAAAGACTAGAGAGGAGAACCTTATTTGACAGTTTTCATTTGCCACAATCCATCGTTCAAATAATGACAATTTTCGACCCCAACGCCTTTGTTGACTTTAGCACTAAGGAAAAGTAAAGGGAATTCTGATTATAAAAAGAGCATGAAAATAGTTGAACATGTGTAGTTGTATGTGGAATAGCCTTCCCAGAGACTCGCTTGACAAACTACTAAACGGAACATTCCACTGTTTACAATTTTACTTGGGTTTGTACAAATTCGCTATTACTAAGACTCAAGCAAAGAAAAACTGAGGACTATGTGCGCAGCTATTCTTGAAAATTAGCGGTTTGTTTAAAGAAAAAACTAAATAATATGTGCATAGCTATTCTTGAAAATTAGAAGTTTGTTTGACTGGAGCATCAAAATCTATCCTCATGAATTTTATTTATGAGTTCATTTACAACCAACAACTTTTTTGACCTCCCTTTGCATACAGATGCTATGCTATGCTGAACAAGATTACTCTTTAAGATTCTTATGAAAGGACACACTCTTTGAAGTAGATAAGGACACTTACATATCTTCTGTTGATAGAGTTGTAATGCCTATTGCCAGAGCATGCTGTTTACCTTCCGCCATTATTGCCTATAAAGTTTTAAGAAAAAAAATATATTAATTTTGAGCCAATCTGATGATGTCAAAATTCCATGCCATAACACACAAATAGACAGTGCCAAATTATAGTTTTACCATTTGATACAAAAACAAAACGAATCCCTGGGTAGAAATATATAATTTTTATTCTCTTAGCAATTGGACGTATTTCTGTCAAATGGAACTAAGCGCCATCGGGGTGGAAAGGTAGAGGGGGGCTTGGATTGGCGGCAGAACCGGGCTTCGGGCTCATTCGTTCCTATACTCGCAATGCTTTTCCATAGCGCTTAGTTCCGTTTGACAGAACGCGCTATCCAGGATTCTAAATTCCTCAAAAGGAACTCAAACAGGCACTTAGTTCCGTTTGACAGTAATACGTCCAATTAAAAACTCAGCTCAGGAAATTGGCAGTGATGTTAACATTTTCCTGCAATTAAAGCGAGTGACGGGGTTCATGATGCCTTAAAAATCCTTGAGAGTACCTACTTAGTACTGATAATTATTTTTTCTTTCATCAATTTTCAAGTTTGGAATTCCTGGGATCTGAGTGTACTTATTTGGTGTGCGACTGTACAGAGGATTTGTCTTGTGCGTGGAGACTGCTGTGGCAAAAAGGCCAATGATGCCGTATGTGCATTGTAAATTTACCTCAGACTACACAGATAATAAGTGTAAGGAGTGGAAATTTCTATCATTGGGGAATTTTTTACAATTTCTAAAAATTGTTTGTACTATCTATGAGAACCATTCCAGAAATCCTTGAGAGAGTTTTACTTTGTTCAATAGAACTTCTTGAGAAGTCTTTGATTTTGGTTATGAAAAATGTTTCATAAACCTTGAGTTTTACTTTCATTGAAGCAATAAAAAACTTCTAAACAATCTGTATCTGGTATTGTGAAGAAGGCTGATGGTAGTGATGGTCTCCTGTGAGGCAGCAAGGGACACTAGATGTGATGAAACAATTTATTTGACAGAGTCAGCTGCTACACTTCCGCATTTTGCTTCTAAACAGGCAAAACTCTTTCTTAGGAAGTTTTATAATAGGTAATGCATTTTAGTTGTATCATGTGGATTAAATCAAACAGAGAGGTATAAGTTAAGTTATACTTTGAACAATGAGCTAGGGGTAGTACTGAGCTTGACTAGTCGCACATTTTTTCCTGACAAAAATTTATGGTCAAAAAGAGTATTTTGAACGTGCAAGTTAATTCAACTTAACCTCTAACATTGAGTCTCATGGAGCCGTAAAACTTGAAACCTTTAGTTCTCTGTTTTGTCTTGATGTGACTTGATTCTCATTTGATAAACTCGGTCCAAGGACAGTCTACGCCTACCTGACTTCAGACCTTGGAAAGTCACAATTGATTGCTTGTGAGAAGAGGAGGGAAGGATATCTTAATTTAATATGTTTAAAATCATAATACCACTTACAACAACGGTTCCTTTTTCTACGGGAGTCATAATAGCCCCGGGGGAAGTAAGGCCAGGGCACATGATATTGGCACCACTGAGGACAAATCTTATAGCTCCTTTATCAACTTGCTCCTTTGGTAAGAAGAAGGGATCTGTGAAACGAAAAAATTGTATGAGGATGAGTCGATGGATCCTGTATACCAGGATTTTGGCATAAACTTGTTCTTCTGATGATAGAGCAGCAATGATAAATCTACATTGCAAAACACAACCATACAAGTGGCTTTCGTAAAAGCTGGTTTTTTTCAGTAATTATTGTTGCTTGAAATGCATTCTACTCGAAATTTTGAAAAAGAATATACATCGAAATGCTTAAATTTAAACCTTGTCTAGTGGTCCATTTTAAAATGTACCTATTAAAATGTATTTATAAAACTCTGTGATATTCAGTACATCACCAACATTTGAAACTTGAAAATGCAGCCAATTCAAATTTATCATCCTGGCTTGCTCATCTATAACAGTCATTGCAAAAATTCTTGATTTAGATAGGAATCTTAGAGCACTGAAAACATTGGCAAAAGTAAAAGACAAAGGCAAATAAAAACTGAGTAAATCAAACTTATAACTCACACTTGTGGAACAGTTTTAAGGTTGGCATCCATGGTCCTTCTCTTTGTCGAAAGAATATTAGCTCCCCACTACCATTTACAATAATTTCCACATGGTCATGACTGAAATTTAGAAAAGAAGAAAAAGAGTTCAGAAAGGTTATTATGTCCTCAGTAACAATACCAAAAATAATTAACTGTGAGCAAATCAAGTCGGTCGGGAGATGACAAACGATATATGTTTTTTCCAAGAAGTGCAAGAATTGAAGACTTGATATCAACAACAGGCTAAGTATTAAAAAATAAAAAATTACGCTGGATGTGGTATTTTGTTCTCAACAGCAAAGGCAACATGCTGCATAACAGGCTAGGTACCACTCACGCTAGAGTATGCGTATAAAATCTGAGAGATAGATTTAGTGGTATGTTCTACGGCAATTTTTGCGATTAAAAATGTGAGTGACTTCAAATCAAATTTTGGGTTACAGTATTCCGTATCTTACGCAAACAGCAACAAAAGCGAATTCACCTAAAAAGGGTTCTGACAGAACCAAAAAGACCAAAAAAAAATGAACATTAAAACAAAAGAAACAAAAGCGTTTGACTGAGGCAGTAACGAACTAGCAACTATATATACTTAAAAATACATGAACAAGATAAATCATTACCATTTAACTAAACGAAAAGCGTCTTTCTTGGGCAATATATTGTCAACATAGTTTTCTAACAGGGGATATTGCTCAAGGATTTTTGATCGTATTCCTTTCTGGACAGATGATTTTAACTGCTGAACTCCTGATATACTATCCTTTTCATCAAATCTGAAAATTTCAACAAGTATTAAATGGTGAACTGGGTTAAAATAACAGCAATAAAAAATATCAAAACATTATCGTAATCATGAAACCAACGGATACCATCACATGGAACTCAATAAGTCTTCAAAGGAACATAGGTTCCCAACAATAGGATGAATTTTAAGCATGAGGAGAGGGCATTACATACCCTTTCTCTACCATACATTTCATCCCTTAAAGACTTTTCCTTTTAAATGGCACTTAACAGTCTATGCCAGATTAAGTATACGCATTTCAATAATTCAACATAAGATCTGCCATGTTCATTTTGGCATTGAAGCTAAACACAAGGATCAAAGTGGCAAATCCTCTGCCTCACTCTAAATATGCATAAATTTATTTGGAACTAAATAACTCAAAACGCTTCCTAATGTGAACTTCACAGGTTTCCTTCATTGGCTCTCTTGTCCCCTGTCCTCACAAATGTTGACTATTGCAAAGGTATGATTTTATGGCAGAACCTTTTGTGCCACGTTGAGTATACACGCTAAAGATATAGTTGAAATTTGAAGAGGTATGGTCAGATAAATCTTCCGAAAATTTTGCATTCCCTTGAGCGTCTTGTCATCAGCATCTGTTACAACCTGGGATACAGCTTAAGTCAGGCAAGCTGACTAGACTTTTACGACTCATGGTCAATGAAGTAAACAAGTAAGTACTGGAGCCACATTAAAAAACTGGTGCAGTTCAAAATTAATGCATGAAAATTATTTTAAGGTGAGGAAAATGAAACCATGAATGGAGGTTATGTTCGGCGTGAGAACACTGAACCGGCGACCGGCAAAGCTTTTCCACGAAAAAAACGACAAAAATTCGAAATTTGGACAAGAAATCATTGGAATGATGGTACTCACTTTTTAAACATATTAGTATTTTTAAAAAACAAGTGATAAACGTAAAAAATTATCTAACATGCTCTTATCACAGCTTTGAACTACACAGAAAACACAGTGAGAACGAGGTAGGGGTGACAAGAGAAATGTACAAGTCTACGTCGTCATAATCTCTTTTTTCATTGGCTGATGGCGAATAAACGAGTTGATGTGCTATACTACGTCACGATAGATGCCTGTATTGCCTCCACCCTTTACGCTTTCTCTGTCTGCTTCTCATCGATTTGTTTTGTTTTTTCGGCGGCTGCTTGTGTTTTGTGTTTACGTTTCCTCGCCCTGCAGTTCTTCAATGGTAAGTGAGAGCAAATTGATAAAAATATCCCTTACTTCTAGATTCTTTTTGCGTTTACAACAGCAGTTTAACCGTGGCTCTTCAATTCTGCACTTAATTAGTCACTGGAGCCTGTTGATAGTGCTGAAATAGCACTCAAATACCCACCCTGATCCAGACATTTCTTTTCTTTACGGTGAATAGCATCTTCAAATTTCACCAACGGTCAGCCTCTCAATCAGTGGACACAAATACATGTAAGAATGGTCGATAGCAATTTTTTAGATGTAGCAAATCGGGAACACTATGTCTTATTTTTTGTGCTTAATTAAGTGACGCTGACTCTACCCACCTCACATCGCATGATTCCCGTCTGCCCATCGCAGAGGTACCTACCAAACCACAGAGGCTTAGTCATGAACTACCATCTTAAAGCAGAATCAGGTGTTCAACTTTTAGCACGTCTAAATTCTCACCAATCCACAGCCGGACTAGAAGAACATCTATTTCACTCTGGACCAGAACCGAAGGAGACGATTGAAATTAAAGGTGGACCTTCAACCGGAAAAACCTTATTATTAACACAGTTCATCATGAAATCTATCCTCCCACCAATGTTCAAAGACATCAAATTGAATGGCCTCAACGTAGGTGTGATTTTAATTGAAACTGACAGTCATTTCAACATTCTGAAGTTAGTTAATCTAATGGAGCGTTTCATCTTGAAAAAATCAACATCAAAAGGAATAACAATCGAGCAAGAAGACATTGAAAATTTAATTAAATCTTCCTTGAACAATTTATTTTTACTTACCTGTCACAGCAGTCCAGAATTGTTTGTCACCTTTCATCAGATACCGTCGCTGTTAATAATTCATCCGAGCGTCAGCCTGATTCTACTAGATAGTGTGGCAGCATTTTACCAACAAGATGTCAGAAGCGGAGGGATTAGAAAAATTGATTTGTATTGCAGAAAGTTAGTACAGGTTTTACAAAAATGTGTTAATGACTACAATGTCACAACAATTTATACTAAGCCTTCATTTTTTCAATCTAAGAGTTCCATTCTGGAAGAGTTTTCTGTTGAACCTAAAGTAGGAAAAATAAATAGAAGGATTGAATTGAAATTTCATGAATCAGAGTCTAATATGTTTGTTGCAACTATTCAGAATTCTAATTCCTCTACTCAAGTCATGTATACTATCAATAATCAAGGACTCAAATGGATCAAAATGAAAACTTCGGAATAGGTATAACATTGCGAGGAGAACACAGAGACTACTTAATGCCACACCAAACTATGATTTATTTTAGTTGCAGTATTGAAGAGACCCATCAGACTTTTGTATGTTTATCTTTTCCATTTTTACCACAAGGCAGGGAGCTAAAGTGACTCTTGAAGTCTCTGGTGTTTAGTATTGACCGGTCATTACTCATCATACTTAGCAGGATGTAGCAGAAGTTAACAACCCAATCAATGGCCCAAGTATGAAAGTACCTACCTCCATTGGTCTGTTTCAAACTTTTCATTCCCATCTTACTTTTTAATTTTTAATATAGCTTGAACTTTATTCAGAATATATTCTGCTAAGAAACAGAGAAAAAAAATCAAGGAAGTTTTCACGAAACTTCACTGACTAAATTTCTAAAGAAAAAATATATCATGACAGAATCTGCAACATTGCAAACGGAGGTACGTTGTTGCATACTTTGGCCATCGAAATGTCAATTAGGCTGTCAGAATTCATCTTTAAATTATGAAAATCTCTAGTTACGCAAACTTGATTTTGTAGATAAGTGCATGTCAATGGAGTACATAAGTTTCATGTGACAGAAGTTGTAATTGTAACTGTACTTGTATTTTATTGTCATATTTAGATTATTAAGAACAACCTTGCCAATTACAGACATATTTTTCATATGTATGAGTCTTGCTGTTTTTCCATGTTCTAAAAAAAAAACCTAAGTAAAAAGAAGAAAAAAATAATTTTTTTAAATTAATAAGTTAATAGGTAAATACCCGAATAAAGGTTGAAAAATTCGCTGTTGTTTAGGAGAGAGGTTTAAGAGGTTGTTTAGGAGATGAAAACTATCGAATGCCCTTCCCCCAAACTTTGGTGCCAGCGTCACTATCTCTCTAAGTAATTTCTTTTTTTCCTGCAATGCGATGAATAGACAACAGGATTAAGTGTCATTTTTATGATTTTGAATTGAATGAGCCACAATTTAATCGCATTTCGTAGAAGAGATTTAACGCATTTACACTTTTTTCAGTTTCCTCTTTGCGTTAGAAAATACCAAAGATTTGTACCGTAAGAAAATTAGAACGATCATTGTCCATCAAAATTAACAATTTGTTTGGTAGAAAAACTAACTATCTGCTATTCTGAGCATTTTTTTTAAAATAAAATCACCGTAATTGCGTTGGTTCCCTTCTGCTAAATGATGTATTTATATACTTATAAGTAAAGCTCTTCAGAAGTTCAGGCCACATGAAGTGGAAGAGCTAAAAAAATTCACCCAATTTTTATCAGGAGATCCAATCCTAAAAAATTTTCTGCTCGATTTTTTGTTCAACTATTTCGTAATTTTTTTCCCTTGGCAACATTCAAAAAGCCTCTATCAAATTGAAATATTTTTTTGGATTTGGAGTTTTTATAAAAGATCTTTAGAGCATCATTAATTTTCCCCCTGCAAAATTTATAATCTTTTTTATCTTACCCTTTGATAACATACATATCTTTGAACTCCCTTAGAAATTTGAAGATACTGGCTCAACCTGCTCCCACCCATCTTTGCTGCTTGTGAGAATTCACAGCACTAAGAAACTCAAGGAAACTCTGAGGGGGGTAGATAGGCTCTTATTTCCATCAAAAATTGAAATGACAGAAGCTGAAGGAAAAAATTAAAGTTCTTTGCTGCTTAGATACAACTTGAAATATTTACCTAGACCAGGGCCGGATTTGGGGGGTGGCCACACGGGCCGCGGCCCATGGCTGCAAATTTTGCAATTTTTTTAAATGTAGCCATAAAGAAAAATCGGTTTCAGAAAAAAAATTACAAACGAGAAAAGGTGACAACATCTCTCATTTCCTGAGAGTATATCTGTAATTTTGTCGTCTCTCTGTGATACAATAGACAGCACTTTTGATTAGTCGAGTTAAGACTAAGAGAGAAACCGAACACGGAATTTGGCCTGGAACGGCGCGGCGCACAGAGCAATGATGACGAGTTCTTGAGAGGAAATAAAGGAGAAACCCGCGGCGGTCGGCATGTAACACATATTAGCGCCTACAAGACTGCATGAATACTTCACGCATTGCGCCAAAGACAGTGCGGTCAGCAGCGAGCGGCGGGAAACGTATAGCGCCTGCAAGACTACATGAATACTTCACGCGTTGCGTGAAATGCAGTGCGATCGGCGCGGCGGAGAAAGTTACAATTACTAAACCACATTTATGTTTGTTCTTTCATAATTTTTTCGTTCATTGCATATAAATGGAAGGCCTCGTCCCCACAGAGATAGGTTTACGGAACTTACCTTCCGCGCCAAGTTCCATGAACTTTTGCCAGTATGTAGTGTTGGCAGGGCTTTTGCAAGAAATGTGTACAACACGAGTAAACGCGTCTTATGCACCCCTCCCCCTCGTTTCAAAACGAATGAGCCGGGGGCGGCAAAATACAGGCGGCCCATAGGCAGCAAGTAAGTAAATCTGGCCCTGACCTACACAATAAAAATTTTGCATAAAAGTATACTTAAATACAAGTTTCAATAACGGAAATTGATTCTCTATATGTACGATTGAAATTGCTACATTGTAACCACACTTGTAACAGACTTTACCTCTTAATAATAGACATTAAGAAAAAAAAGTAATTATGGCATTTAGTTTGGTACTTAAATTGGAACTTGGTCATTTTCGAATATCAGGAGGAGGTGAAGCAAACGCCAAACAACTTATCCATCACTGTGAGGTAGAGTGGCCCTCAGCTGGAATCGAATGAAAAACTCTACCTTTTAAAGAAATGCTGATTAGTGTCAAAGGTTTCATCTCGACTATTTGAAGGCTACAGCTTATTTTTACTTGCCTGATGAAGGAACAGGGATAGTATGACACTAAGTGGTAAATGTATGAAAGATTCGAACATTCCATGAAATATTACATATATGTTCACAAGGTTGTGGACTCAACGAAAAATGCGAAATATTCATATGTGAAACAGGGTATATACTTAACCCACACCTAGTACTATGAAGCAATGCAAAAAACTCTAGTTAGAGTTTTTTTTAAAGAAAAAATGGAGACCTTGAAACAAACTTTTTTTTTAAAGAGTGTCAATGAATTTTTAATTCAGGTACAGTTATACCGGGTGGTCTGGATCACTCAGTATACTTATTACTTTTTAATTCATGTAGGTATAGTTATTTATTTGTTTCTAATAGGTAGCCCGTGAACAATTGGACTACATTTTGTAATTAGGAACTACAATTTCTGGCTCAGTTTAGAAACAAAGTATATGTACCATTAGTTTCCCTAAGCACATAAGTGTTTTTACGGATGAGCAAGAAATTGTAGTTCCTAATCGCAAAATGTAGTCCAATTAGAACTATCCATTTGAAATGCATTACCTATTTACCCTCAAAATCGACTACCTAATTTCCAATATTGCTTCTTTTTAACTTTGTTTGATCAGATGAGGAAGAAATCTCAGGTCGAAGTATGGACTCCCACCAAAAAGCACATAATTTAAGAAGAATGGACAAGTACCTAGTTCATGATCCATGTTCATCATAACTGGAAATGGACAAACATTTGTGGCCCGACCCTGGATGTAACCGCAGAAAAATGAGCTAGTGGACCGTGGCTGCAACAAGTGTTAAAAAGTGGCATTTCTGGAAAATGACTTGGGATGCATCAATTCCCCTCCCTGGTAAACAATTTTAGTCAGTTCCTTATTGTTTTACCTGTTCATGACATCAATGGACTTTACTAGAGGCACAGAAGTTTTCTCTCAACATTTTAATGGGATATTCATAGAGGAAGGTTTTCTAATTACACTGTCATTAATACCTCTCATTCTAAGAAAAAAGTTAAAAGTTAGAATTTCCGAATTTATTCCCAAAATGAGATCAACGAATTTTGACTGAAAGAATGCTCAAAATATTGTGGAAAAGGTTGATGGAACCATCTTGAGTAGCACTGTACAAGTTAGGGGTATCTTCTTTTTTTTTTTTTTTTTTTTTTTTTTTTTTTTTTTTTGTACAAATGAAAAGGTTTACCTACAATTAAAATTGTAAAATTTAAGGTATGAAAAAAAATTGGCATCAAACTTTGTTAAATTTTAAAAATCATCTGTATTGATGATGAATGTGAGGAAACTGCAAACTATTTAAAAAACTGTTTACTGCTTAAATGAATAAAATTGTTGGCCTTTACAAAAATAAAGCAATAGGTAAGTAAAACCTGTAAAAGTGTTATGTGACATTTTCACGCAAAAATGAACGAAAAGGGGTTCCTCTTTCAGATATTTTAACCGTTTTTTCAGGAGTTTTCTGTTTGGAAATTGCGATTTTTTTTTTTAAACCTTTTACATTCTTTTATTTTGTCTCATTTTCGATGGCTCTGTACCTGGTGAAATAGAAAAATCATTAGAATATTGAGGGCGTAGAGAATAGGTACAAAAGCAGTAGGTATACTTACCATTTTTAAAACCAGTTTGTTTTAAATTATGCAACTAATGTAGCAAGGAAAAGAAACACAAGCAAGCGAAAGGAAGGTTTGGTCTCAAGTAACATTTGCTCTTTCCCAAAAATCTAAGAAAATATGTTCTGAAATTTAATGTGCAAATCTTATACTTTTTTCCAGTTTTGACGCACCGGCAATCAAGACTAGTTGTGGGTCTTCTCGCCGTTTTATGTTATGTTGGCTCTCTGAATGGAGACTTCGTGTTTGATGACTCGGAAGCAGTGGTTAACAATGATGATGTCCAGCTCACTACTCCTGTCTGGAAATTGTTCTCTCATGATTTTTGGGGAACGCGCATCACAAATAACGCTAGCCACAAATCCTACCGGCCACTCACTGTCATATCGTTCAGGTTATATCAATAGATTAAATGTTTAGGTAGAGAGCAATGCATGGAATTCACAGAAATGCTTATTTGTTTTAAGTTACCTAAAAGTAAAGTTTGTCTCAGAAGCCATGCCATGTCATCTAAGGCATAACTGTAGCATCCCTTTTCATCATAGTCAAAGTTAAAGCAGTAAGCAAGATCAAAGCATCTACAGGGAATATGTATTTATACACTCATATCTGACTGTCCTTATGGGAAGAAACTGCCAGAAAAGTCAAAATTAAGATCTTTTCAGCACGGCCCAAATAAGGAGTGTAAACACTGGTGCAAAATTATGCTAAAAAATTTTAAAGCAAACCAAAGCTATGACAGTTTAAAGTTTGAAGTTCAAAAATATAGTTTTAATAACAAAATATTTGCAGTTTTAATCTGCTATTCTTTCGGAGCAAAACTGTTGAATTGAAATGCTCTTTTACAAGCGCAAAAATGTACTAAACGGCCTAAATCTCATTCTTCAGGATAAGAGAATGCAATCTACATCAAAAACGTAAAACCTGATTTTTCAACCAAAATTGACAAGAATTTTTCCCAGGGGAAGTGTGCGGAGACCCCATTTCCTATGAGCGGTTACCTGCAGCCAGATTGTTGAGATTTTGTGTTTGTCGATTGGACAAGATAAAAGCACGGAGGAATGGAGTTATGATCTTGGTCAGCGTTGCCAGTCATCCTCTTTGTCAAGTCTGTGTTGGGTGGATTTAATGACAAAGTATTGGCAACTCAAGAGATGAAATCAGTTTTTTGTAGATTCCACCCAACATGGGCATCACCGATCACCTCCTCAGTCTTGACTTGAGCAATGAACAAACATTGGTCTTGTTCAACATTCAGGCTGCTCTATATTTTTACAAAGCCATCTTTATTCTTACGGCATAACACATCCAAAAATTAGACAAATTATAAAGTAGACCTTTGACCAAAAAATAAAATAAAAAGCAATTAATGAAAAAATATCATGTGGTATTTTATTTGGCAGTAGGCTTATCATACTTAAATTACCGCATAAAGCTGAAATTATTGCTGTAAAGTGACTCAAGCAAGTCGTAAAATGCAAAGACAAAAAGAAAGGAAAGAAAGAAATTAAAAAAATGTGTGTCATTTCTGTGGAAGCGTTTTTTCATATTCCAAGGCAGAGCATTTATCATCTTAATTGTGATTAATTTGCCTTTCTTTGCTCTTATGGATGATGGACATAGGAGTGTGATAATATGATGTGTGCGAGGGAGCGCCATGGTGAATGGCATATTAAATGTAGAATTTATTGGGAAGGTTAATGTCAGATATTTTGCGAGAATATAAGTGAGTAACTTAATTTTTTTTTGTTTTGTTTCCAGGTGGAACGTTTGGCTGAATGACGGGAAGCTAGAACCTTTCAGTTTTCATCTATTCAACGTCATCCTTCATGGCATTAATAGCGTACTGTTACTCAGTGTCTATAAACTCCTGCTTGGAGTTGAGTCCCCAAAGCTGTCTCTGGTTGCTGCGTCTCTCTTTGCTCTCCATCCAGTCCACACAGAGTCTGTAAGTCCACTTTACTGGCTCCAGAGTAATTGAACCACCGCTTTATACCCATTTAATAGTTGTATTGTTGGCTTGTGCTGCAACTCATCAGCTCTGATGCGCTTTACACTTTGGTGCCAAAAATTTACAGCTAATAGGCCACCTATACCATGCCTATACCAAGACTGCAGCTTTGAACAATTGCTACTTAAGACGCATGAGTATTAGGGTTGTTCAAAAAATTTGAAAGTCTTTCTTTCCCGTTTTTCCATGTTTAAGAGTCCTAAAAACGTACCCAAAAAAATTCAGTTTCCTCAGTGAAGCCTATACATATGCACTGGTGCAATCTTTCTTCCATGAAATTTACGTTGGTTTCAATAAATGCGGAAGAAACAGGCCTTATATTTGAAATTTTGATCTTGGCGTATTAATTATGATCAGTGGTGTAAAATCTTGGATTTTTTCGGGAGAAACATAAAAAATTTAAGAGACCCTTGTGAACAAAAAACTTGCACTTTGGACTCAAAGGATGGGGGAGGATGGTTTGTACCTTGCCCAAAACCTTGCCGGTTTTGTAGCACCTGTTCCGGAAATTCAAGCATATTAAATTAATGTCTGAATTAATATTGATAAACTGAACTAAATTGGGATGGAATGCAGTTTTTTTTTTTTTTTGAGATCATTTTCAAACACTTAGCTGGGCTCCAAAAAATTTAAAAGCCTTATGAAGTGCCTTAAAAAATGAAAATATATCTTCTTTATAACTGTAAGTATCTTGTATCTTTAATCAACTGTCATGCCAATTGATTCGGTGCTGCTAGGATCAACATGAACACTGATAGATGAATTAATGAAAAATTTTATCAATTATAAAAAAGGTTACTTGACATACCGGTTGTTCTTATTCCTAATAAGCACAAATCACACTCCGATATAGAGAGGCAAAACCTCCAAGGCATTGCCTTGCTGGAAATCACCGCTCGATCGAGTCACCATAAGTATGTCATAAAAAGGATCACATCAAAAGGAGCCAACTTCTCCATGTAGTGATACTCTGATTTTTGAATGTTTTAGGTGGCTGGCATAGTGGGGAGAGCAGACTTACTGTCCACATTTTTTGCATTTATAAGTATTCTAGTCTATCAGTATGCTGTAAGAAAGGAGAATACCAGTGTCAGCTCCTTGAGTTATTGTGCACTTTCGTGCGTTTTTGTTGGCATTGCAATGCTGTGCAAAGAGCAAGGCATCACTATCATTGTGAGTAAAAGGCTTCATTTATTCTTTTTTTCAAAATTGGAATCATCATGCGGAAGGATTTGACCAGAATAAGCCTGATCACATCAGATGTTGCCTTATTTCTTTTAATGCTTTATTTTCCAAATAGAGAACTAAAAAACAATGAAAATTAAACTTTCTCTGAATTTTCATTAGTTTATGGAAAATGCCCGAACAAAATTTCAAGTCAGAATGTTTTTGTTTTTTATTATTTAAGTTTCCTTTATTGAAAAAATTTACCTTTAACATAACATGATAAAGGCATTAACGAACATAAGAGAAGACAGATAATTTACACGGCGTATTTGAGAAGGACAAGATTAAAGAGAGAGAGCACCGGAATCAACAATTAAAGCATATCATCAGTCCCCCCTCCCCGACCTACCAAAGTTGGAAGGTTTAGTGGAAGTAAAGCATTAGATAGTTAATTAAGTATTCTCTGCAGAGCAAGATAAGTTATATATATGTTAACTAGCGGTTAACAGTTAACTATCAATTAATTACAATTACAAATTATAATGACTCTAATGCCTTAAAGATAAGAGAAGTCAGAATGTTGCTTATTTTTTGGTAAAAACATAAAACATAAGAACTCAGGCTTTGTATGATGTATTTAGGGCTAATTTTTATTAAATCTGATTGTATAATTAAGTATTTTTCACTCAATTTTTGCATGTACACTTTGTGGTCAAATGTTTTTCTAGAAATTTAGTATGTACTACCAGTTGTTCCATGCTGTTATTTTTTTTTTCAAACAAAGATTGAAAGTTCACTTATATATTCAGTAATGCCTCAGAGTAAGGATCAGGTCCTATTTCCGATTTGCCCCTCAGCCATATGTCCGATTCCACTGTAAAATGTACAAGTTGCCCCACATTTTTAAGCGCTGCTCAAAAGTAAAAGAAAAAAAAGTTATCATTAAATTATCATTTTAAAATTGCATCAAGGCCCAAGATTAACCTCTGATTTTCCGTGATCCTAGGATCATGAGATTGGGCATTTTCTAAACCCATGGAAAGTTGACGGATCTTGTTTATAATTGTTCAAAATTTAACTGTCAATCGCATATGTGTTTACTTATTTGTTTTGTTTTGTTTTTTACCCAGAGTATTTGCTGTCTATATGACCTGCTGATTGTGAACAACATGTACCTGAATAAAATGCTGCATGAGGTTTTCAACTCATCACAGAAAAAACCGAAAAGCAACAAACAGTTACCTCATAAGATTCTGAATCAAATCCATCAAAATGGATTAAATGGGCATAGCAACGGTCATGGAGCAGGTGCTGTTTCGATGCAAAATGGAAATCGCAGCAATGGTTTGTCAGACGAAAAGCTGAAAGACAACCGTCATTTCTTCTTGTTGTTGCTCCGGCAGTCCATACTGTGTTTTGGTTGTGTTGCACTCTTGTACTTACGCTGGATTGTCATGGGTTCTGCTCCTCCCGTCTTCCAAAAAGTCGACAATCCTGCATCGTTCTTAAATAATACACTCGAAAAGGTAAGCCTCCATAGTAGCAAGCACTTAAAAACATTAAAAAGAGTTTGTGTTTGGGTTTCAACTGTGCTCAGGGTTGTCACAGTCAGAGAAATCCGAGAAATGTCAAGGTATTTTAAATAGTCAGTGAAAGCCAGGAATTGATATTAGGGATTAATTGTTAAATTATCTTTTTTTGGTCTTCAGAATGTTATTAATGTTTCCAACAACAAATGTCGAGTAGTGGGGTTTGGAAGTTACAACTTTTTTTTGAGCAATCTATTATATCTAATTGCAATTCAAATAAAATAATTATGTTTCATCCTTTTTTCCCCAGATAAGTTTTCTCTGAGTGTGATCCTCGATATATGAGCCGTTTATTCACATCATATTTGCTCTACATTTATTTGTTCAATAAGTGCAAAAACAAACCAACCTCTCTCTCTCCCCCCCTCATTTGAATAATCCATATCAGAAATAGGAAAATACAATATCAAATTTTTGGAATTATCATCATGTGAAAATTCTTTGATTTTAAAATCGTCCATGCCCCTTTTTTTTGTCCGAGAGTGCTGTCTAAAGATCACTGATTAAATCATGCAGTCTTGTAAGCGGTCTATTATTTCAGGGAGCCAAAAAAATCACAGAATGCAAAAACCACGTTCACCTATGATAACAACATCATTTATTGTGATACAGGTTGTGAACTACAATTACTTATATTCTCTGAACATGTGGATTTTGCTGTGTCCGGAGTGGCTATGCTTCGATTGGTCAATGGGCTGCATTCCACCAATCAGCGTCTGTAAATTTCCAATCGACCTCAGACTTTTGGCTGTTGTCATCCTGTGGGTATCATTTGCTGCAACAATGAAGAGACTGACCAAGTCTTTCAACACGCAAGAATGGAGGTACTGATGAAATATGCATATTTTCTTTTTTCAAATTTACCAGCTGTTACAAGATTTTATCATAACGCTCTTGCTATGAACAACTATAGTTATCGTCACAAATCTTAACAGCTGAAGTGCTTCGTTAGGTGACTAAATCAGTGTTTTTGCTCATTACAAGAATAGCTGATTGGAGCTGATTGGAGGTGAATGAGAAAGAAAAAGAAAGAAGCGACTGGATTTTAATCCAACCCTACAATAGCTAATGAATGACAGTACTTAAATTGAATTGAATTGGAAAAGGAAATCTGAAGTTCCCAGGCATATCAATGCCTGTTGAAAAATATAAAAAATTAAAAATGATAATTCCCTAACTCTCAAAAGATTGGACCCTTATTTTCTTTTTAACACGTTGACTGGCAAGGCTTTTTCAGTTTTCAGTCTGACAAGACCAACACTGGTCTGTAATTCTACAAAGGAGTAGTTTATTCTCTAACTTCAAGAGTAACGCTAGCTTTATTCGTTGACTGTCTGTCTATTTGAACGTTACTAGAGTGCACCAATATCGTTCCTTGGTGATTCCTATATTTTTCGCTAGTTTGCCATTTTGCTACTCTTCGCTAGGCAAGGCTGTTAACGTGTTACTATCTATCAAAAGTCTTTCCTGCTTCCTATTCTTTGTCTATCTTGCTCTTTCAGTCTTTTGATTTCAATGCATTTCAAAATGAGTGTTTTTCCTTTTTCAGGGGTATAGTGATAGCATTAGCACTCCTCATCATTCCTTTTTTGCCAGCGTCAAATCTTGTCTTTCGCGTTGGATTTGTCATTGCTGAGCGTGTGCTTTACCTTCCCTCGGCTGGTTTTTGTCTCTTGGTTGCTCTCGGAATAAGGAGACTGTCTGTTTTCCCTAACTCGAAAAATGTAAGTCATTAAAAATCATTATTTGTGTCTTTAAATCTGAAAGGCAGTGCAGTGGCCAAACTTGAAAACGATGTGTCTCAACTGATTGCTTCAAAACCTCTGTGCAATTTTAATTCCGAGGAAGGAAAAGAAGCAACATTATGTCATGGCTTAAAATTCCTTATTTTTATTTACCATTCCCAGGGGTCTAAAATGAAGCAAGTTTATCAAAGAAAAAAAAAATTACAAAAAAATTTTCATTCCAATAAGAAGTTGTAATTCGACCAATAATTTGTGTTGGGAGGTAGACATTTAATATTTTATTAGCTTTGCTCAAAATAATCAGACAAATTTGAGAAGCGGATGTACCGTATAAGCTCATAACTGTTGTTATCAATCCTAAAATTCTAGTACCTAGGTAAGTCAGGTTTTTGTTTTGTTTTTTTTTTTTTTTTTTCAATTAAAAGCTTAATCTGCTAATTGTTTCCTTAAAATTAGTTTCTGAGATCTAAATAAAAGAGAGTCCATAGAAACTCAATTAATTATCATCAGAAGAAGGTTCAAATTACATACGCTACTAACTCTTAGCAACTTGAAGTATGAACATATTTTGTGTGAGCATTCCCTTCTTCCTTCTGTTTTTTCGTTTCTCAAGTCACTGGTTCCCAGACGAAGGAACATTACTCAATTTCAAGGTTGGGAAATTGATTCAATCAACTCGATTTTACATGTGAAAAATATTCCAAATTTATCCCAAATTTTGCTGATTTTTCAGAGAAATCAGAAGAAAATCAGTGAAATTTTCAGTTAGGAATTTCCAACTGTTTCAAGATAAACATAAAATTTTCTGTGAAAATTCTGCTACGTTGAAATCTAGTCTTGTTCTTTCGTCTGGAGAAGGACAAAACATACACCTTGATAGTTTTTAAGGAATTTATTAGTTCCTCTATAGAATTGCAAAGCGATTTAAAACAATGCGTGAGATGTTGAAGTTTGTACCGGCTCCCTTCAATTTAACTTTCTGTTTTTAGCCACTGCGAATCATGTTGCTTCTCCTTTGTGTGACATTCTTTGCAAGAACTGCTCAACGCTCCCTTGAGTGGTGCTCGGAGTCAGCTTTGTTCTCAAGTGCTCTTTCGGTCTGTCCATTAAATGCCAAAGTTCACTACAATTTGGGAAAAAATTCGGCTGATGCTGGTAAAACGGAAGAAGCCATTCAGTTCTACAAACAAGCCATCAAGTGAGTATAAAAAGAGTCACTTTAATAATTATGTATTAAAAGTAGAGTATATACAGAGTACCAGTTATTCCTGCCTCATTGATGTACGTGGCCTAAAATAGACAGCAGAGTAATATTTAAGAACAAATCAATAAATAAGGAGCGATAGTTAAAGTGATAGTAAAGTCAGGATAGGAATCAACAAAAAAATAAATTGTATCGAATCGTAAAGGCTCTGAACTTACATTCTTCACTTATAAGATATTTTTATTCTGCTATCTAAGAGTTCCAATTATTTAATTAAGGAAAATTAATGTCCAAAACTTGAATTACGTAACATTGTTTCAACAACTATTAATTAACCTGATGTTATATTATTTTTATAAAACCGTGAATTAATTAGAGTGGAGTGTCGTCACTTCAATGATACTTATATCTATTTCAACCATCATTTGATTTTTCACGTCACCATCTTGAAGGCCTCAAATATGTTTCAGAATTTCTTGGTTTTGTTGTTTTTTTTCTTTCTTTCTTTTTTTGCAATTGTCAATCCCTAAATTATGTTTCCATTGCTTTCAGATTACATCCTGAATATGATCAAGCAATGAACAATCTAGCAAATATCCTGAAAGATACTGGAAACCTGACGGAGGCAAGATCGCTACTAGAAACAGCCGTGAAAATCAGGTTAACATTTATTTCATCATTATCATGAAACCTCATAGGTATCAAGTAAAGAAAGCTTCCAAAGATGTATTTTTGTCAAAGACATTGAATCATGTAGACCGTGCGTCTGGCTCAGTTTAGCACAGGCGGAGCGAGACAAGTCTCTTGGAGCCTCATGATGAACAAGCGGGGAAGGGGAGAGAGCGTGTTTCCCAAGCACTCGAAGAGACCGCAGAGAGGCAATGGAGAATTCATTTGCGCGCTCGGTTTTTCACAAATATCTCGTTCAGAGTCCATGTTCAGACAAAATTCCTAAGATAACAAGTTTTAGAACATCATTATATTACAGCTCTAAGCGCGCCTAAAAATCGTGCCCGGAATTTCTCCCCCCTGTGACGCACCACGCAGACTCACCGACTGGCTGCTCACCGCTCCCTGCTGGCAGCCTCCTCCCTACCCGCCTTTCCCCCGCGCCGCACCGTGCCTTACGTGTATCCCACTCCTCGGCTGCTCTCCACATCCACGTTACCGAGTCAGTTCAACCAGTTGAACAGTGTCGATTCTCAACTGGTTGAGAGTGCAGCACTGTGCACCTCCGCTCATTTAAATGCTTTGATCGCTTTTGAACTCATGAAAAATTGAAGAGCGCATGTCCTCGAAAAATCTATTCTCGGACTTTCTGCAAAATCGATTGCCGAATTCTCCTGAAAAATCAATTGTTGTGCCATAGAATATTCTAGAAAGCTCTGGAACATTCCGACCTGGCAAAGAAATTACAGGCGCGCTTTGCGTGCCCGGAACAGCAGATGAGGCTTGCATAGCGAACCTTAAGTCACTAGTGCGCCGGGAACAGCTAGTATAATTTTACAACCGAATAGCAATGTTTCATTTTTCCGAACTAGTTATTAACTGAGAAAAAAAGCCTCACAATCCAACAAAAATTCACTGGAGCCGCTACTGCGCATGCGCAGATGTGTGCAATTGGGACACACGAACTCATCGATGTGGGTCAGTGCCAACACTAATCGGCATGCAAATTTTTAAAAGTTGTCTCGCCTCCCGTGACACAGGATGCACGGCCTACGTGATTCAATGTCTTTGATTTTTGTATTTACCCTTTTGGATTTATTTGCCGACAGAAATCACAGAGGCAAGAACCCCAAGATTAAGAAAGGCTACATACATATGAGCGAACTAAGATCTGTAGAACCCTTATCCATAGTTTCTTTCGCAAAGTGTTCTATTACAGTGTGTGCCATTGACTTTATATTATTTTTGTTTTCTCTTCCATACCTAGGAGGGCCCTTTACTTTGAAATTCTGTGTATGAAAGTGAATTCAGTATTGATCAGTAGCAATCAGTAGTAAGATGCCTTTTTGTAGATACAAACAATTGGCTTTTGTTGCTAACTTTTCCTCTTGTTTTCCAGGCCTGATTTTGCTGCTGCATGGATGAACTTGGGTATTGTCCTGTCCGGTTTGAAACTTTACAATCAAGCAGAGACAAGTTACCACACTGCTCTGACTCATCGCCGAAAGTACCCTGATTGCTACTATAATCTTGGAAATTTGGTTAGTCTTGGCATGAACTAAACTTTTGGGACTTATTTTTTTATTTATAATAGGAAGTTTGCAAAGAGTCTATATGCTGAAACTTTCACAGTTTTGTGAAATGTATACAAAAATGCTAAGTTTCATCCATAATGTTGCACTAGACAGGATACAAAATGGAACAGTACAATACATCAATAGTGAAACTCACAAACGGCGTAACTATATCACTTGCGGTGCAGTGTTTTAAAATCCTTTTGCCCATTTTATTTTTTTGGAAAAAAAATCATCAAGGTCAGCTGTTCCCGGAGGTTTTCACAGAACTTTTCTTGCTCAGAAAAGAAAAAAAAATTTCTGGCAAATTAATGTTGAGTTGTTTTCCATATAAAAATAAAGTATGAGAGGAAGTCTGCTACGTTGCAAGCTGAGATATTTGATTTGGGAGTTTCACCATCGACTTCATTCTTCAGCAAAATTTGATTTAAAATACAATAGATGTACCAAAATTTTCCAGATCCAATAAGTGAGCGAGAAAATAACATTTTGCTTTTAGTTCAAATTTTCTGCCTTTAAAAAACCAAAATCTTCTTGAATTTTAATCTTAGGCCAAATGGCCATTGATATCCGTCTCTTCTGATGAACATTTGCAATTATCAATACTCCTTCAGAGGTCTCGAGATGGAACATTCAACTTTTGTACTCAATGAAAAATTATGGTTTCACCTATAGAGATATTTTATAGTAAGGCTGTGGTAGTGATAGATTATAAATTAGGAAGAAATCAATCTTGGTAATTAGTCAAATCCTTTGTTCAAAGAAAAGGCTTATTATGCAAGCAGGGTTGCCATGAGTATGAGTTAAAACGATAAACTTGACCCTTGGGCTTCCCCCTCATGTTTCAGCCTTAAGTTTGAATAGAGATTTGCTCGTATTGCAGATTAAACGTTCTTTTTTTATCAGTAATTCACCAATTTTCTTGAGAACTTTCATCAAAATCAAGAGAAAATTTTAGACAAAACCATTGGCATCCTTATGTTCCTTGCAAAATTGTATTCGACTTTTAATCTCTTGACTTTACAGAAGTTTCATTCTCCTTCTCCCATATAAAGTTAAGATAGTTATTATTTTATGGAAATATTCATGCTTTTTTCAGTACCTTGATATGGGTCGCAATGCAGAAGCTTATGAAGCATGGCTCATGGCAACGCGCTACCGCCCTACTCATACAATTGCATGGAGTAACATGATAGTCATGCTTGACTCAATGGGAGAGTATGTCAAAGCAGAGCAGGTCGGCAAAACAGCTCTCTCCATACTGCCTAATGAACCAGCACTACACTTCAGCCTCGCCAATGCGCTAGGTAAAACAGGGAAGCTCGAAGAATCGGAGTGGCATTTCACCCAAGCAATCAACCTTAATTTCAACAATGCTCTTTACCACTCGAATTTTGGTAAGATTCCAATCTCTGTAATCAATCAATTTATTGATTAGAATATTTACCTGTGTGGTACTTTTAGGTCGCTAATCAAGAAAATCAAGTGAGGTAATCAAAATTGTCATGCGCGGCTCATTTGACTAGTCATGTTAAGTGAAACTTCTTAATAATTATATTTTTCCATTCTCCTGACAGCTCATTTAAAGCAATTGAAATACATGCGCCATACTCGTCACAAATAACTTTCATCGAATTGGAAGAAAATATGTAGTTAGTATCAACTCTTTCACTTGTCTGTGCAGTGTGCATTAATGAATAGTTGTCTTACTTATTTATTTATTTTTCTTTTAGGGGTTTTGTACCATCGATGGAAGAAATTTGACAAGGCCGAGCATGAATACAAGATTGCGTTAAAGTTGAATCCCCATCTCACCAGCGCAAAGGAAAATCTATCATCATTGAGAAAACTTCGTAGTTCAGCATCGTAGTATTCCGTCAATGCTGTCAGTCCAAAAAGTTTGTGCAATCTCATGCATGAAAACTCCTTGCAAAAAACTTCCTGCTTCACCTTGTATGATCAAAAAAACATTCCTCTCTAAGTCTTCTCATATTATTAAATCCTTATAGCGTCTGTAATTTTTCCTATTTTTGCAGTTTTCCTCTCAAATAATTGTGTACCCCATCAGAATGGTTTGCCATCAATTCATGTAGAATATAGGTGCTTGAAAGGTTTTAAGCTTACACTCATAGCATTGCATCTATGATTTTTAGTGGTGCCTTTTCAGCCAACGTCTAAATTTTAGAAGCTCTAATCTAAGAGGGTCTCAAAATTTAAAATACACGAAAGCACCTGAATTTTTTAATGGTTGTGAAAAGACAGTATGGTTATCAATCAGATAACTGCCAGCACAATAATTGTAACTTTATTGAAGCGTTTTTTTTTACAGTAAGCCCTTTTTTTTAGTACCCCTTATCAGATGTTCTTTTTGTTAATGGAATTAATCCTATTCCTACAAACGCTTCAGAGAAAATAATGAGTATTCTTCCCTTTTTAATGTTTGAATATTTTTACATGTTCTAGTCAAAATTAGAAAATGGAGGCATTTTATTGCATTTTTTAGGATAGGAACATGAGCTTTCTAAGTTTCAGTGTAATCTTATTGACAATTTTTGTACTTAGTAAATAACGAAAAAGCATCTCGAATAAGTCATTAATTAAAATAGACTCTTTTACAAAATTTTGATTTTTTCTCTCGTATTTTTGTTTTATTTGTTACAAATTCGTTGAGTATTAGTAGACTAAATTTGAGGGCTTGTGTAAATTTGAAGAAAGTGATAATCCTATGTCCTATGTCCTAGAATTATAATTGAATGCATTCAAGCAAAATAATTTTTTGTACAAGTAAACCAATTGCAAATAGGTTTATGTGAAGATGGCTTATTTTACAGTAATATATCTAATGGGCCATAAGGCAAAGTCTGAACGTAGAAAAATGCTGCATATATTTTCTCAAGAATCTTTCGAAGAGAATGATTTACACAGTGGAAAGTTTGAAAATTAACTGCTGAAAAATAAATTTAGAAGTATTTTTGCCATGGGTCAAATGGTAGTTAGATTATTTTGTCATTCGACCTATGTTGATGGTAAACACTCATATCCCGTTCAGGAGTTCAATTTTTAGATTCTTTGTTGTGTGTTTCGTTTCCCTTGAGGAAATTTGAAGAAATAATAGGTATGTTGCGCAATTGTTTAATTCATACCTTCTGCCATAGTCCATTGTTCCCTGTACTTTGTTCTTTTCATAAAAATGCTGTTTTCTAACAGCATTTGCTTTATAATTCAAAAGGTAATTTATTCGGTAATAATCTGCGTAAAATCTGAGCATTTAAACAGATCTATTCATCTCTTGCTGATCTGAAATAAGTACTCACCTGTCAAAACTCAATTCCATGATACGCACAACTTATCCATTTTTACTGAAATTTTAAAGTGTAATGGGAGCATTCATCAAATGTACAGTTAAAAACCTACAGGTCTGAACACTCGAATTCGTCATTATTTTTGTGTTTGCTGATAATAGGGTCAGATTTATCCCTTTTAATTATTTTTGGTTATTTTGTTCTTATTCAAATGATGTTTTCAGTATAACTGTGTCCATTAAGTTGCTACAGTTTTTGTTGTATAATTTTTTTCAAAACGTGTTGTGTTGTTACTTAAATTTGTTCATGAGCTGACAAGTAATAAATTGTCCCAGTATTATGTTTTTTGAGGCAGTCATCTTGCTGTTTTTTACAAGATTCAAAATCAGTCAACGAAATATGTATTCTTTATTTTTTACTTTAGCCCCTGTGTCTAGTTTATGTTGCCTTAGCTGCAGGTGCTCAGGGACCATTTTTGCCCCTGTTTGGTCGTTATACTGCTGAAAATATTAATGTTTTGAGTTGAAAATCTGCAGAAGGTAACAGCTTGTTTCAGGACCTAATGTTTAAGTTTGATTGCATTGTTGTATTCATCATATCTAAGATATCGATTGTACTTTAACTGTGTATTTTACAAGTGTTATTTTGTGTGGTTGCATGGTTTCCTGCAACCTTGGTAAACTGCTTAGTTTTGAAATTTGTTTGCTTGATTTTATGTAGAGGCTTGAATAGAGTGCTTGAATTTTTCTATTCAATGATTGTCAGGTTGAATGTTCACTGTTTTCAGAATTAACAAAGCATTTGACGTCAATTAGATCATTTGGAAAGATATTGTACCTATGAAAGAAATTGCAATCAAGCTTCAAAGTAATCCAAAAATCCCTAACAAAGGCTTGTCATATGAGAAGAAAACTGTGCATTTAGATACTATATTGTTGGTAATTACAAAAAGAAAAAAAATTTGTGAAAACTGTCCAGAAATTCTTCAAAAAGTGTTTGATTTTTTATTTTCGAGGCTGCATGAACCATGTAGTCACTAATGAACTAATTTCAACGTCCATTTTGGCGGTGTGGCTGACATAGCCATTTTGAGTTATTTTTTTTTTTTTTGGTATGTTAAAAATTAACTTGATTGTAATCTGATAACTTGAACTTCTATCGAATTTTCACTTACATAACCGTTTTTTAAATTTAAGCATCGTCAGTTTAAAACTGAACGTTTTTGGATTTGAGCTTTAACTGTTTGAAAAATCATGCGGATGAAATTCTCAATCATGCAATGAATATTTAATGAATCTGTCCACATGAAAGAAATTCTTTCCATGAATCATTCCTCGTTTTCTCATGTATTCATAGTCATAACAAAAATTTAGCCTACGCCAAATTTCTTGATATTCCATATGTAGTCCATTCAACAAAATTTGAAATCTATTCCACTCAACTGCCCATTGGCTGGTCAATTTCTTGTCATCATCAGGTGACGTTACAATTGGTTGTACCTAGTTGCAACTGGACGCATTTTAAATTGTAAAGAATTGTCATATCATTTGTCTATGATGTTTTAGCGTTTAAGATCTTGCAATTTATTCTTCGTTGCTATTATTATTTATTTACCTGTAATCCGAGAATTGCCCCCCTGTATTTTATCTTGATTGTTTTGTTTAATTTTGCAAGCCAATTAGTATCATCAGGCCAAGCCTGTTTTCTTTTGAGACCTACTGAGCCTTACAATTAGCTGAATTTTAGCTGATTAGTAGATAGGTAGTGTTGACGAATTAACATTGTTTTAGAAAATTTTGGAAGGATTATCTCAATAGCACTTGATTGTTTAGTTGTTTTTAATTGGAATCAGTTTAACCACATCGGATCTTGCGTAATTTTCTCTGATGTTTTATTTTTTAAACAGAAAACTAAGTTGTACTGAAACTTGACATTTTGTGAGTATATTCTTCATAATCTGAAGTAAATTTACAGAAATGTTCAAATTGTTCACTAGTTTAGTTCTCTGTTGAGAAAATAATATTGTTTAATCAATAATAATAAATTCTTGAGAAAAACATGAGAGGAAATTCGGCGACAGAAATGAAAAATTCTCTATTCTTCTGAGTCGTCAATGTGATTCCAGTGTCCTAACATGCTTATATTAGTGTGTTTCCCATGTCAAGGAGAATTCATCTTTATCAAACTTGCAAACATAATCAATACTCTTAAGTATTTGAACGTCCTGAAGACAGGCAATGAATTTTTGTTTTGTTTTTTGTTTCAAGACTTTCTAAGGTCTGGTGATTTGAATTTATTTGATTCTTTTTTTTTGTTTTTTTAGTTTTTTATTTCCTTCTTGCAAGTGTTACTTTATTTCAAGTCTCTCACATTCCATGAATGTATAATTTAAGTTTTTTGTGATGGCAAGTAGATTAACTCTAGGCTGTAAGACGATCCATGATCAAATGTTATTTTTAGGTGAAAGAAATTCAATATTTTTGCGGGTGTGCTGCGAAACTACTGAAAACTGTAAACCTCAAAAAAAGGATGGTGCAGATACACCATGATGTTATCACAAAATATTTTACTATAATGTTTCAAAAATACTGCAGAGCATTTGCTTAAATTCTTGACCTCAGTATTATTGAGTAATTAGTGAATTGATTTCAATTAGCTTCTTCAACCTGTATCGGGTAAACAACGTTTCAGTTAAAACGTATCTAGTTATTTAAGTTGAAAATGTTTTGTTATTTCTGTTTATGAAAAAAATTCAGTCTCACAAGCCTCAGAAAAAGAATGCCGTTACAAACCAGGAGGAGAATTAATTGTCCAAGTTCTCATGTTTCAGAAGGGTTTGCGTAACAAGGTCTCTTCTTTTTTTTCTCTCTGAATCGTACTTACTTATTCATCTATTTAGCTCTGAGGAAAATTTACATTTCTGCAGAATTTTTCTGTATACCAGTTGTTGCAAAACATTATCTCAGCAACTTGAGTAGATAATAACATAGCATGTGTTGATTACGGCTGTGAATATGCACTTTTATTATTCGCTATTTTTAGGAGTTCCACACACGGTGTAACGCACAGTTAGAAGAGTGAAGTCTCTCATATCATTGTCGCATTCACAAGTCACAAGATAAGAAGGCCAACTTAAGTACGGATTACATTTATTGTTTTTTATTTTAATTTTTAAATTTTATTGAACATGTATTTGATAATTATTCATCATTAATGATAAGAGAATATGCCTGCCATTTATGGACAGTTCTTTATTCTCTTCTTTTTATAAAATCCTTTATCATATTTTTGCGTACTTTTGAAACAAGCTTCTTAATGGTTGTGACTTTTGAAATAATATTTCGTGTGAATCAATTCTCACACTGTCAGTGCAGGAATTATCTCAATTTTTATACTTTTGTATTTCTGTAGCCGTAAATATTTTTAATTTACTTACCTCTTTTTTACTTGCATTTTTTATCATTTTCTACGATTTCTGTCTGAAATTTCGTATTGATTTATCACCACTTCTATTCACTGTCTATCATTGTCTACCATGTGAATCATGTTTCTTTTGAAATGACTGAAATAAAGTAGTAAATCTCAAACAATTTTTGTTATTTATCCTTCCAATGTGCTTTTGATTTAATCATGCTCTCAAAGGCTCAGGATTCGGAACTTCCGAGAAATTTCATAGGCCAAACGAGGCATTGCCAGAGCAAATTAAGCCTGACTTAAAGAAGGTTTGTCCGTGGCTGAAAATAAATCCTTACAATTGGACGTTTTTCTGCCAAACGGAACTATGTGCATTATGGCGTGAGCCCTGTTATGCATATATTCTTATGGGTCCCAGGGCTCATGTCTTAATGCACATAGTTCCGTTTGGCAGAAATACGTCCAATTAGCAGTGAGAGACTCACCTCTATGACCAGGTTGAAGGGCGGCGTTACTGACTTTTCTATAATATTTCCTGCATCAAGGGCGTTTCAGCTATTTCAGTATAATTGATTCAGGATTAGATCCAAAGATTTCAGAGGACGGTTTATTGGGTCCAAATAAGATATTTTTTCAATGATATTTTTTTAAAGCCACTCGTGCATGTTGTCTATCCGATAAGTGAAGAGGCTTCTCTAACTGAAAATCGCACTTAGTAAAACTAAGTAAATTTCAGAGAATTAGTCGAGTTAAGAGAGGAACTAAACACGCAATTTGGCCTGAAGCTTAGCGCTGAGAGGAATGATGACGAGGACTTGAAATGAAAAGGACAAGCCCTCGGCGCGGCGGTCGGCATTAAACACATATTAGCGCCTACAAGACTGCATGAATACTTCACCCATTGCGTCAAACACAGTGCAGTCAGGAGCGGTTGGCGTGAAATGCATAGCGCCTACAAGACTGCAGGAATACTTCACGCATTGCGCCAAACACAGTGCGATCAGCGCGGCGGCGGCGGAAGTTAAAATTATTCAACCACATTTATGTTTATTCTTTCATAATTTTTTTGTTCATTCCTTATGAATGGAGGACCTTGTCCACAAAGAGATAGGTTTACGGATAACTGAACTTTCGCGCAAAGTTCCGTGAAATTTTACCAGTAATGTCGACAGGGCTTTTGCAAAAAATGTATCCAACGCGTGAGTAGGTAAACGCGTCTTATGCACCCCTCCCCCTCCGGCACGTTCACTTGATGGTTTTTTTTTTTATGTTTCAAAACGAATGAGATGGGAGCGGCAAAATACAGGCGGCCCATGGGCGGCAAGCGGCAAGTAGGTAAATCCTGCCCTGTAGGTGGTATATACCTAAACATTTCTTAGGGTAAGTAGCTCTGAGTTTTTGTCGTAGAATCCATAACCGCATGTAAGCTTTTTGAATTGAAAATTTCCATAACTAGGGATGTCTCCCTCCCAAAAACATTATAGATATCTGCACATTAATCTTCAGACGCACCAGTCTCCCCCCCTCCCCCCTCGCCCGCCCCGAAAAGTTTTCGGGGGCATGTGGAGAGAAGATTGCTTAAACTTCAAGCCACTACTATTTTAACTCACCGGAGGTCAAATGGATCGCGTTAAGCAGAAAGGAACCAAGCCACATCAGTAATTGCCAAATTTAACCGGGCAATTTAATTTTTTCATGAGAGCAGTCGTGCCGATTTTGGTGCGAATTTCAGTGAAATTTCTGCCTTGGCAAATAATTCCCTAAACATTTCAAAGGGATCCGCTCAAACGTTCTCTTGTAAAAAAATGAAATTGCTCGGTTAAATTTGGCAATACCTGATGTGGCTTGGTTTCCCTCTGCTAAAAGCGGTTCGAATTGCATACTTAACGAAAGGAAGGAACTTTAAGTGATCTGTGGTGGAGCAATCCGGTGGACCCGATGGACCACTAGTACTAGACTATAAGATCTAAAGCACGACTTTTGCTCCTTATTCTTCATCTAAATTTCACGCAAAATACGCGAAACATGTCGCTAAAACCCAAAATCACTTGATAAATATGAAATCAAGGTTTATAGTATCTGTGTATTGAAGTCCTCACGTAGTTACTGCAACTCCACTGGATGCAAAAAATACTATCAACAGGCGCCCAGCATTTTGCAACTACCCGCATAGGCAACACCGCAAAAACAAATGCTTTGACTCGATCGCTCATGATCGCTCATGCTTTCGAATATTCTTATTAACCTCCAAATAAGTTGAAGCTCGTGATCGATAGTAGCTAAATTGTTTAATTTATCTAAATTTTTCGTTCGTTTGGGTTGGGATTTAAAAAAAAAATTGAAGGATTGTGCGTTGATATGCGCTCACTTGCGTGCTGATAAGCGCTCACTTGCGCGTCGATAAGCGCTCCTTACCTCGTCCCGCGTGACGCTTTTCTCTCTTAAAAATTTTTACTGTGTAATGTTTATATTCTGTGTCGACTCCTAACAGCAGCAAATTTTAAGTAGGTATCTGTCCTTATCTTATCATGAGTGTAAGCAGGACTGCATCATTTCAAAATCGTCATATTACACATTTACCGGTAAGCATTCTCCTTTTAAAATGCACCCATATTTTCAATATATTTTCCTACAGTTAATATCTAAAAAAGTATCGGTGAAATTTTTTCCTTTTACTTTTGCCTTCATTTTTGTTTTTACATATTATTTTACGTTAAAATTTGATTTTATACTTTTGAGGCTCGTATCTACTCATTGTGAATCGAATTTTTTGACAGTAAGTACGAATCGAGTGAAACTTGCTCTCAGTCGTGTACGTATCGAAATTATGGCGATCGGGCACGTAGTCAGGATTTTGTTTAGGGGAGGGGACGTCCCCTCATATGAGAGGGGGCTCGAGGGTCCTCACCCATCATTTTTTAAAAAAAAAAAAAAAAAAAACCCCGTTTCATACTTCCAAAAGAGGAGCTTGAACCCCCCCCCCTCCGGATACGTGCCTCATGGCGATAGGCGATACCCAGGATTAATTGGACTACATTTTGCAATTAGGAACTAAACACTTTTTGGCTCAGTTTAGCAACAACGCATGTTTCATCAGTTTCGCTATGCACATTAGTGTTTTTACCAATGAACCAGAAATTGTGGTACCTAATTTCAAAATGCAGTCCAATTAATGCAGTCCTGGATTGAGTTCCAAGTGTTCAGTTTCCATGCACTTTAAGAACATGGACGCGGCCAACACTCTCTTGAGGTTATAGGATAAGGCCAAAGCCACGGGGACTCAGAGGGACACAGCAGCATAGCAGCACACCAGTGGCGTGCTTTGAGATATATCGATTGAATTTGCCATTTAAACCTATGGGAAATGATCGATAGACAGGGTGTTGGCAGCGGACACCTTAATAATCGATTCTTTACCATGGCTTTAAATGGAGAAATATCGATAATCGATTTCATAATTATCTAAAATATCTCCCATGTAGCAAATAGTTTTGGCTTCCCACCAAAAACATGTTAATTTTAAAGGGAAATAATTGTGTAAATTTTAATACTGCACATATGTTAAGTATTTTTGAGAGAAAAGAAGAAGTTGCACAGTTTTGAAAACAGTACTGCAATCGCGCTAGTCTCTTTTTGCTAAATGCGATCCAAATATACCAAGACTCGGCAATTTTTCGTTTTTTTTTTTTTTTTTTTTTTTTTTTTTTTTTTTTTTTTTTTTTTTTTTNTTTTTTTTTTTTTTTTTTTTTTACAAATATTTTCCAGGACTTTAGACGTAGTACTCTGCAATAAAACAAGACATCCGTTCCTTTTCAGACGCAAGGAATATACCCGTAATCGAGTCAAGGTGCCCAGCTTATTCATGTTCAGTCTCCTTGTGAGACGGTTTACTTGACGAGGCCGAGTCGAGGAGAATGTTCAGCCAATCGGAGATGAGAACTGGCATGTTCGGCCAATCGGAGATGAGACCTGACACGTTCGGCCAATCGGAGATGAGCACTGGCATGTTCGGCCAATCGGAGATGAAAACTGGCATGTTTGGCCAATCGGAGATGAGAACTGACACGTTCGGGCAATCGGAGATGAGAACTGGCATGTTCGGCCAATCGGAGATGAGAACAGACACGTTCGGCCAACCGGAGATTAGAAGTGACACGTTCGGCCAATCGGAGACGAGAACTGACACGTTCGGCCAATCTGAGATGAGAACTGACACGTTCGGCCAATCGGAGATGAGAACTGGCGCGGTGATGGATCAACGCCCGCCGCGGAAGTCCCTCTTCGAGGACGATGCGGACGACCCTCCCTCGGGGTCCCCAACACCGGAGCCGGCCTCCGTGGAGACCAAGTACTCGCAGATCAACGAGAACCTACAGAGCATCATCTCGTTTTGCAAAAATAAGCTAGGGACCATCCAAAACCAACCCCAAGTCCTCCAGGGGGAACTGAAACACTGCAAGGCCCAGCAGCAGCAGATCTTCTTCGAGGATGGCTTCCCGGACAGCATCGTCGAGGGTGACGCCGGTATGGCGTCGGCCAAATTTTCCTACCGGTTCGGCGCCGGGCAGGTCCCCCAGAAAATGCGATTCAGGTAGACTGGAACCAGTGTTTAATTTCTCCGCAAAATTTCAGAATTTTCTTCGAGGTTTAATTGTAATTTTTTCACTCTTTCAAAAGTTTTTCCAGGAAATTAAATAGAGATACTTATGTTAGTTAGGCAGCTACCTTTCAAAAAAATATGCCGTACTCAATCGGAGATTTTAAAACGTTGCCAAGGAGTTATGTAGCCGTTTCATAAAATGGGTTGGTATAACGTTCCGGACCCGCAGCAATGGCGAGGTGTGAATGATCGATATCGATATTTCTCCCATTTGAAGCTGTGGTAAAGAATCGCGATTATTAAGATGTTCGTTGCGAACACCTTGGTTATCGATCCTTTTCCATAGGTTTAAACGGCAAATCAATCGATATATCGCCACTGCCACTGGATAATCGAGACTCTTCTGTATTCGCAGGAGTCCTGACAGCTACATGAAGTGCCAGCAGGAGAAGCAAAGGGACACGAGCGGGGTTGAATCCCATGGCACGGGCCCATTCATCCCTGGCGGGAGGGCTCGATCGGTGCCAGCGTCGTTCGCGCTGCGACTCCAGACGGTGGAGCAAGAGGCTGCCGCCCGGAAGATGGCTGTGCGCAGGTGGATCCGGCCGCAGTCACCGGAGGTTCCGGCCGCCGGCCCCGGGCCGCTCCTGACCAAGCTGCGTAACCTCACAGGCTCGCCGATCATCCCGCTTGACTGCCCCAAGTGCCAGCTCGAGATCTCCAAGAGGGAGCTCGAGACCATGCGACGCAACCTCTACCGCGCTCAGGGGCTACATTGTTGGTAAGCCAACACTGAAAAAAAAACTCCGGTCGTGGGAGCCGCAATGGAGATGTTAAATGTGTGAGAGATTTGCGATTTGACCATTGATTCTTATGTAGAGGTTCGCGAGAAGCACGATGGTGCCACTGGTTTTCTCTGAAATCATCTCCCAAGCTCAAAAAAAGCTCTCAAAGTGAGGTCAAAATGGAGGGGATATCCCACCCTACCCTGAGAGTCCACCATCAAGACAAACTCTCCATGCAAAGATAGGGAGCAAATACATTAGCAGAGATGCCGTGATTTCAGTTTTGGAGTCCCCAAATAAAGCGGCAGCTCTGCCAATGTATTTGCTCCCTATCTTTGCATGGAGATGTAGAGGTGGACTCTCAGGGTAGGGTGGGATATCCCCTCCATTTTGGCCTCACTTTGAGAGCTTTTTTTGAGCTTGGGAGATGATTTCAGAGAAAACCAGTGGCA